GGGGGACAAGGCTTCGATAGACCTTCTGGCTCGTCGGCTGGCGACGGTGTCGACAGCGGCTGCGGCGGGCCATCCGTGCGGTCTATAGCCTGGAAGCTGAATACCCTGCGCAAGAGTCCAACGGGTTAGCCGATTGTCCAGTGTAGTATGATAGATAAGAGCCAAAGGCCGGCTGGGGCCGTCAGATAGCAGCAAAAAGAGATCATACTTGGTCTGATCTGGAGCCATCGCGGGCAGAGCTAAAACGCCGCTATTCGCAATAGCTGAAGGCCAGAGTCTTTATGGCATCGCAAGTGAGGATACGAGCTCATCCGATGACCCCGGTGGGAAAAAGGATGGTGAGGAAGAATGACAGGGCACAGCGAAGAGGTTAAGCTATATCGTTGAGTGTGCAAGGGTTGAGATTGCCGCGCAGCTTTGAAGGTCAAATAAAGTTGAGAAATTGGCCACCGTCGGAGCTGAACAGGAAAGCCCCCCAGCCAAGTGGGCTTAGAAGTGGAGTCGGTGCGGAAATGGGTCTAGGCCGTCCAGCGTCTCCGCTCATAGGGTCGCAGCTTGGGTAAGGGGATCATCGACGGCCCCAAATAACTCGGTGCGTTGGCTTCCTACCTGGTCGATTCCCGGGAACGACCGTTGATGATCCACGGTTCAACCATGACGACTCTGGGCGCATGATCCGGCCGAAAAGCTTCCTGTGGGGGAGAATTTCGGCTCCGAAGGATCCCCTGCGAGGCGTGGCGAGGCGGCAGGATAAGGATAAGAATATCTTTCAATCGGAGGAACCTAGCGAGATGCTTGAGAGGAATTCTTTCCCGAGGAAGCGGGTTCGGGGAGGGGGACCTTTGCTGGGGCATCGTGGAGATTGCGCGAGAGAGTAGGTTGTGGTGGGATCGATAGATGGATGGACGGATGTAACTGTGTTCACGAGAAGCATGATACCAGGAAAAAAGAAACTTAGCGAGAACTCCACAATGGTTTTTATTTTCAACCCTCCGTAGAGTTGTGCACGATGTGATGTGGCCGGAAAAGGCAAAGACGGAAGAAAACTGGAGGAGAAAAGAAAAGTGGGAAGAATAATAGACAAAGGCGATCGTCTACGATCGTCGTTGTTGGGGCACTTTTCGCCCGCAGCTCGCGGCTTCCATCCCGATTCCCGCCCGTGCCGGCCTGGCCTGGCCTGGTTGCCTTCATTCTTCTCAGTGTTCGTGCCTGATCTTGCCGCTTTCAACCCTCCCTGCCTGAGGCAGCAGTTATTGATTATCTACTCATGATTATGTTATCATTCATGGTGATGATTCACGATTTGAAATCAATCGTGATGGTAAATACTCGCAGGCATTGGAATATGGTAACAGAACGTATATCTAAGGTTCTAGATCCTAACTAGCAGCTCACCACCGCAGCGAACTACTAGTGGCAAAGTACCTTTTACCCATCAGGGCTAGACCAACACCTAACTATAGAGATGGGCAGTACTCCGTATCTAGAAGCTCTTTACTCCGTAGACCGTTGCGACAGGTTCGGAAAGTGAGCTATCATCGTGCTGATGAGACAGCTGCACATGTGGGAAAGAAGGAGAAAAAGTTGGCAGACCAGTAATCCATCCCACATATCGATCGGTAGTATCTGATTCCTTCCCCAGGGATGGAGGAACTGTCCTCCGGCACGGATGGGAACCTGAAACCCACCACACCAACACCGCCCGGTTCACCCGTACCCGCGATTGATGTATCATCGCCGGGTACCAGCGCTAGGGCCGATCTACCGGCTCAAATCAAGGAAATGGTTCGAATCCATTGCAATGCATCGAGCTCGGTGTCAGTCTGTATCCAGTCCTGGCTACCAAGGCCCAGGGGTGATCCTGTATTAGTCCACCTATCGAGCATGCCATTCGTCCAGATCTCCAACCGCTCATCAGCCAAATGAGCCATTCCAAATCATGAGTACCGAAGGGTCAACTAGTTTCGTCTATTTTGTCTTCCGCCGATATGTTCTGTACCCGTAGCAGTACACTTCTAGGTAGGCCCCAGCGCAGTGTGCCTGGCCTTGCATGTCCCAGCCGCAGAAGGATAGTGTTCAATTATGCGCCAGGCACGGTTTCAAAACGCCATCGGGTCTATATCTGCATTGATAGAAAAAAAGGCTTCCAGATCCATCGTGGAGAAATCAAAGTCCCAGCCCATGTCGGATTGGGTGAAATCGAGAAGATCATCTCCGCTGCCTACGCTACCGCTGGGTATGCGTATGCCGTCCTGTAACAAGTTTCCTTGGAGATCAGACAGCATGGGGAGGGTCCCTACTACCGCCGGGTCCCCGGGTGCAGTCACTGGCATGAGGCTCTGCCCTTGGTGGGACGCGGAAGTCGGATGGCGCTGGGGGTGGAAGGGCGGTGTGTGTTCATAATCATACATCTGACTTTTGGTCGTCTCCGGTGCTACCCACTCATACGAGGGGTGGATTTTTCGCAGGACAGTCTGAATGGCGGTAATGGAACTCTTGATCGGGTCTCCAGGCCGCATCATTGACATCCCCTGCACGGCAGCATGTATCCAAGGTAGATGTGTGGGTGCAAGATTCTCACCGTGCATAAGGTCGTACAAGAGCGCAAACGATGAGCTGCCTAGGAAGTAGCCATGATACCGCAACTCCTACAACATTCAGCCTTGTCCATGCTCAAATGGGAATTTAAAGAACGACATACTCTAACAAGTTCATTGCACGCGAATGCTTCGCATAGGTGATGAATGGTCCTGCATGCAGCGCTGAGGGCTTGGTTGCAGGCTTCGTTGAGCCATGAGGGAATATCAGTGGTTCGTTTCGTACTAGCAACGGATGATGATCGTTTCATATCCTGATGCCACCGTCCACGGAATATCAGAAATGGTCGAAATGTGAGGAGGATTGTGTGGTAATACACTGTGTCGATCAGCAACTCAGTCAAAGATCCTGGTCCCGCGTATCCTACAAGTGGTCGCAATGATCTGTCGCACCCCCAAGCTCCCTGGCTGGGCACACTTGTCTAGCCCAAAGCCCAGCGCCTGTCTCATCAAGCCGTCGAAGCCGCGGAGCTCATCAATGATGGATCTGGCGATTTTCCACATTTGCAGCAAGGACTCATGGCGACGGCCGTACATCTCGGACGCTGATCGAGCAATGATCTTACCAAGGCTGACGAGGACCTGCAGGAAAGAGTCCTCGGGAGGGGCGATACTGACATCCTTCAATGAAAGCGTGCAAGGTCGTCCAAGATGGAAGCAGGTCCAGCTTAAGTCAAATCAGTGGTGCGCAACGACACAGTACATAGTAGACGTTGGAGTCTTACACTTCGTAGAAGTAGAGAGCCCAGAATGTGGCACGTCGTTTTTCGGTGCTGTCGGCGGCATCTTCCCTCTCGCCTGGGGCTTCTTTGTGCAACCCGGCTGAGATAGCCTTTCGTGCGGCTGTGCCCATGAGCAGGAATGTTGAATTGGGCCTGCCTTGCTCGCTTTGATAATGGGCGTGCTAAGAAGAGAGGTCAGCGTCGTCGACTCGCAACAGTCTGGTCGAACACTTATCATGATGAGTGCCAGTTGAATGATTTGTAAATTCACAACATCGTCAAGTGAATGCATGGATAGCTTGACACGATCGTATAGCGTATCACCCCAGCTGTGATACTGGGTGGCTAGTGCTCCAATTGCCATCGCTACGAGCAGTATTGACTGGGTGATTTTATCGAGACGAACATCCGGCCCTTGGCCATACAACTGATCCAGTTGATAATAGAACTCTTCCTTGGGCCACAACGGGGCCAGGTTGTACAAGGTGGCCAAGAAACGTTCGAGAAAGCATTTGGCTAGCTCATAGGGCAAGAAAAGCAGCTGAGAATCCAGGCCCGCGACGGTCTTGTTGGCATCGTGGGAATCTGTGGGCGTACCGAAGAAGACGCGACGAAAGCTGAACATGTCCAGGCCAGCTCCGGCCTCTTCGACTTCACCCTGGGGCCGATCAACCTCGGCCGACTGACTGTTTGCCACCAGACCCCTGTAAACCTCGTGCATGAGGGCAAAGTGCGAGGTGGAGCCATAATACAGTTGGACCTTGCATGAGGGCGATGTCATGTGTGTGGCTGAGACGCTGTTGTTGAAGGTTAAACTGACGGATGGGTTCCGCCGGCGGGCTTGTGCTTGTTGGTGGTGTGATGGACCGGGAGACCACTGCCGCGCAGCACTACCCTCATCGGGCCGGGAGATGGCTCCATTAGACCCAAGCCTATCAGTCTCGAGTCTCTCCTGGTATTGATATCTCTTTTTTCGCTGGCGGATTACATCACGATAGACGCACGGGGTTCCCCGCAACTGGCAGGTTTTGCAGGGGTCGACTCCGTTGCATTTGATCTTCCGCTTCCTGCACTCTTGACACGCCTTGGCGATCCGCCAACCCGTAGATTGAGCTGGGGACTCGGCGTCAGCCATTTGCACTGGGCAATTTGGCTGGTTGATTCGGTTATGTCTCGGATCTGATGATTGATCTTGGAGATGGAAGGATCATCATGATGCGTCATTCATTGGGAGGCAGTTTGGAGGATCGGATATAGATCACGTGAATTTATCCGGTATTCCGGGCCAGATCCGTGCTAGGCTGAGAGACGGATTCGACCAACCAATTTCTACACATTGACTACCATCGCTTCTTTCGATGTGTGTGTGAGAGGGAAGTTAGCTCGATTCTATCCATCGTTTTGAGCTGCAATGGCAATGATGTCTGCCACGTTTCGAAGGACATCGCCTAAAGAAAAAGAGATAACGAGGGTTGGCTGCCGAGGAAATCTATGTTCAGGTCCATGCCCAAGTTGAAAAGGATTGAGCATGTCGCTGGTGCGTTCACATATGATCTAGTTACATGGATTTTAGGCTATTTCTCTCCATCGAACGACGCTGACTTTAGTAAACCTCACCAGACCTGTCAAGTAATATTGCCAGTGTTTGTCTTCAAACTCGGGGTCGAGCAAAGGCATAGCAAAAGCATGGCGAGGGAAGGAGAACTTAAAGCATCGCATTTCCTGTACAACAGAAATGCTGATCAAAGGGGAAATCTCAACGATCTGGACTGTGCTAGCTTCATTTTCCCCAGCTGGAGGAAATCTGGCCAACGCCACGGCGGAGCGACTGGATGGTATCGCGGAGAGTTTCTTGGCAACGCCACTGGGCTCAAAAGATAACTCCCCTCTCCCTTTGTCCAAGGGAAGGGGGCAAGATCAGACAGCGTTTGAGCCATTGTCAGTGGCGAGAATCTCGGATATTCCGACTAGTCTCAAGTAGTCGTAGTCGTCGTCGTCGTTGGCTTCAATATTTTCCGCTGGTTGGGATATGTCACGCTGCCAAGATTCAACACCAACTCTCCGGGTGTATCTGTCATCGATTCCTCTTTGACTCGTCCATGGCGACATTCCATGCACAAAACGACGTGCACCGGCAGATCTGCACCTTGATCTCCTCCGTGAAAATACCGTATGCCTCGGCTAGTTCACCCAAGGAGACTGCAGAGACTTTCCGATCATGTATCAAACCTTTCGCCAAGGGACCGTTCCCACGGACAAAGGACTCCTGTCAGGTCTTGGCCAGTCCGGGGTTGCGGGGTGGGGCAAAACGCGGGGAAAGCTGCCATCTGCTCTTTCTTGTCGTCTTCCTCTTCGCCTAACTGTCTGTGCTGAACTGATGCGAACTTTGATTCCCCCCCCCCCCCGGCTCATTGATTGGTTCTCAAGGGGTGGCTCTAATCTCTCCAGCCGTGATGACCGGGGGGGAAGTCACAGTTGAAAAGTCCCTGGACACGTGGAACGGCCCTTCACTGGATGGGCGAGAGAGAGACTTCTTGGGTCCTCGTAAAGAGATGCTTGGCGAAAAGCCATGATAAGACCCGCTCATACTAGCCGATGCCCGTCATGACCATGACGCGGACATCGCGACCATGTTTGATCGTGTCAAGGTGCGAATTGCAAAGTCTGGACCGCTTGTTGATATTGCCGTTGGAATTGCCGTTGACAAGAAGCGAGCAGGCGAAGAAGAGCTATAAAGCTGTGGGCTGGGACAGTTGGTCGTGGTTGCAGTGGTGCAGGATCTCCGCACGTTCCTCCAGCCTCCCCTCCATCTTCCTCTTCCTCTTCCTCTTCCTCTTCTTCCTCAATCACATGCTCCAGAACCCCGTGACTTGAACGATGCAAAACGATACAATGGCCTCCGAGAAAGGCATCTCGCATCACCAAGAAGACGTCTTCACTCAAGATGCCTCCAAAGCCGCTGGTCAAGGCCTCGCAGCCACTGACCAGTATGGCCGGGCATTGATTGAATTCGATCCAACCGCAGAGCGCCGCCTGCGCCGCAAGATTGACCTGTTCATCCTCCCCACTGTCTCGCTCATCTACCTGTTCTGTTTCATCGACCGAGCCAACATTGGTAAGCATTACACCAAAACAGTTTGAAATGCGCGTGCCTCTAACCGCTCTGGCCGATAGGAAATGCCAAATTGGCCGGTCTCGAGAAAGACCTCGGCTTCACCGGCTACGACTACAACGTCGTCCTCTCCGTCTTCTACGTCTCCTATATCCTCTTCGAGATCCCCTCCAACATCGCCTGCAAGTTGATTGGCCCGGGTTGGTTCCTCCCCGCGGTGACCGTCGCCTTTGGCATCTGTTCGCTGGGCACAGCGTTCGTCCAGAACAAGCAGAGCGCCGCCGGGGTGCGCTTCCTCCTCGGAATCTTTGAAGCAGGCATGCTGCCGGGCATCGCCTACTACCTCTCGCGCTGGTACCGGCGCAGGGAGCTGGCCTTCTATCTGTCGCTGTACATCGTGATGGCCCCGCTGGCGGGAGCGTTCGGCGGGCTGCTGGCCTCGGCGATCCTCAAGATCGACCACTTCGGCAGCCTGCACACGTGGCGCATGATCTTCGCCATCGAAGGCATCATCACGATCGGCTTGGGGCTGCTCGCCTTCGTGACGCTGACGGACCGGCCCGAGACCGCACGCTGGCTCACGCAGGAACAGAAAGATCTCGCCATCGCGCGGATCAAGTCCGAGCGCGTCGCGACCACCGAGGTGCTCGACAAGATGGACAAGGCCAAGATGATGCGGGGGATCTTCAGCCCGGCGACCCTGACCACGGCGTTCATCTTCCTGCTCAACAACGTCACCGTCCAAGGCTTGGCCTTCTTCGCCCCGACCATCGTGCGCACCATCTACCCGACCAGCAGCGTCGTCTCGCAGCAGCTGCACACGGTGCCGCCGTACATCGTGGGCGCCTTCTTCACGGTGCTCTTCCCCTTCCTAAGCTGGCGCTTCGACCGGCGCCTGCCCTTCTTCGTCCTCGCCCCGCCGCTCACCATCACCGGCTACATCATGTTCCTGGCCAGCGCCAACCCGCAGGTCCGCTACGGCGCCACCTTCCTCATCGCCGCCGGCGCCTTCAGCTTCGGCGCCCTCTGCAACGCCCACGTCTCGAACAACGTCGTCTCCGACACCGCCCGCTCCGCCGCCATCGGCACTAACGTCATGTTCGGCAACGTCGGTGGCCTCGTCTCCACCTGGTCCTTCCTCCCCTCCGACGCCCCGAACTACCACATCGGCAACGGCCTCAACCTGGCCACCGCCTCCATGACCCTGATCCTGGGCGCCTTGATGTGGATGTGGATGCGCTGGGACAACCGCCGCCGCGAGCAGGTCGATATCGATCGCGCGCTGGCTGACCTCTCGCAGGAACAGATCCAGGATCTGGACTGGCGCAATCCCGCCTTCAAGTGGAAGATGTAAACGTCTCTCTGGGAGTGTTGTTCGGAGCTGGCTGGGTGGCTCATGGGTGTTCCGGTTGGGTGTATGGGTGTTTCGGAGCGCAAGCGTTTGTGGCGGTTATATATGTATGTAAGTTTATTCTTGAGTATCGAATTATTTGCCATTGAGAGTCGAAGACCATTATAGCGTATATATATATGGTCATAATATGAAAATTTCAAATCTATGCCTTTTCTATCGGCGTTGTGCGTGTAACGCCTCGCCCCAGCGAGATCACATGACTTTAAACAGGACCGCGATTACATAAATACTATGAATTTGTGTAGATTTCTTCCTTCCTCACCAATTCCATGAATCTCAAGGCATCAAGTTTCCTCTTTGAGCCAGTAAATCCAACAGTATCTTATCTATAATCGACATATTCTATATACGTACATATCTTACAAGCCGTGGCGAATCCCCAAACCATGTACAACGTACCATCCCCTACCGCTTTACTCTATGTATCTAATGCCTCTATTACTCGCACAAGACACCGCCCCAGAATCTAGATATCCTTCCTCGCATACCGACTATGTTTCTTCCTTAGCGTCTCTCCGTACTAGACAGTGTAGCATCAGTATCATGAACAAGAAAATATCAATCACCAGGGCGGAAGGAGAGGGAAAAGCTCACCTTCATCAACACGAACGGAATCGGAATGAAGACAATCGACAAGAACGCCAGGGTGGAACTGGCCCAATCCACGCCCAGATTCTTATACATGGCCGACGCAAACAGCGGGAAACCCGCGCCGAACGCCGAGCGGAACAGGTCGTTGCCCGCCAGGACGGACGCAGCGTACGCCGGATACGCATCGGGCAGGTAATTCAAGACAGGGTTGAAGAGGAGGAAGGCGCCGAGGCCGAAGAAGCCCGAGCCGACAATGGGCATGATCCAGTGGATGTCGGGGCGGGCGCTCCAGCCGAACCAGAACAGACAGATGGGGATGCAGCAGCCGCCGACGATGGCGGGCGGGAGGCGGGCCTCCGGGGCGATGTTGCCGTTCTCGTCGAACTGGGGCTCCAGGTATTTGTACATCCACCAGTAGTACGGCGGCAGGACGAGGAGGACGCCCACGAGGATGCCGATGAAGGCGAGGCCCTCTTGGCCCAGGTTGAAGCCGTAGATCTCTTCGAAAACGATGGAGAAGGATTCGAACCAGACGTACAGCAGGCCGTAGATCAGGGCAATATACAGGTTGAGGAGGAAGACCATGGGCTCCAGGAAGTTGAGCGTCAGCGGCCGGACGAGCGTGATCATCACCAGTTCGCGGCCCATCAGTCCCTCGCTTTCGATCTCGGGCTCGCATTTCAGGTTCTCGCGGCCCGTGAGTTTGCGGAGGCGACGCGCTCGGCGGTAAAGGATGTTGGCCGACGAGGTCTCGGGCAGAAGGAAGATGAGCATCACCAGCGAAAAGCCTGATAGCCACATGAGTTCCCAAATGGTCCAGGTCCAGCCTTTGGCTTGCGCGGCGAATCCTCCAACTAAGGGTCCGATGACGGGGCCGCACACCGCGCTGATGCCCCAGATGCCGATCGCGTAGGCGCGTTTCGCGGGGCGGAACATGTCGGAGATGGTTGCGCCGCCCTGATGGAAGTTAATGTTTGTCGACGATTTCTCGATTCTTTGGGAGGGAGGGGAACTTACGGTGGCTAGGGCGGGAGAACCAAAGAAGCCCGTCAGAAACCGAAACGCCAGCAATGTCCCCAGGTTTTTGGCGAGCGCGGTGGGCACCTGGAGGCACACGAAGATAATGAGGGTGGCGATATAGACCGGGTTGCGTCCGATCTGGGGCACCTCGCTCATCGGCGACCAGATCAACGGACCCAGTCCGTATCCCGCAACGAAAAGCGTCAGCCCCAACGTGGCAGCGACTTGGCTGATCTGGAACTCTTCGGTGACCGTCACAATTCCCGGAGTAAAGATAGAGCTCCCGATGTAAACGCTGAAGGTTAGGAGGCAGATCTCGAACGTAACAAAGACTTTCTTCCACAAGGGCCAGTTCTGAGGATTCTGGACAAGAATTAGGTTGGGATGTGTGCAACATGTGTGGGCATGTGAACGGACGCGCACATACCTCTTGATCATTCTCGTCCCACCAGTCGATGACATTGACGTCTTTGCCATTCTCCGGGTTGATTCGTACGCCCGTCAAGCCTTGGAAATTGTGACCTCTGTGTTCCCATGCCGTCGAGGGGATTCGAGACAGGTGTTCACGGGGAGAGTGGTGCTCTTCGTCGGGGACATTGATGGCTGAGTCGACTCGACCTTCGTGAGCCATCTGGCCTGATTTCTCGAGGCTGATGTATCGCTTCCATAGTTCCGGGTCTCGCTCTTCAGCGTATCGAAAGCAGCGATTTCTGGTGAGAAGGCGAATGGCATGGCCAAAGACCGAGTCTTGGATGAGAGTAGCGGCCATTGCGCAGGTCGGGCGATCGATCAGGATAATCCAGAAACCCTGAAGATCGCTCCACCTGGACCCTTCGGCCGGGTCGTTCTCTTATATATTCAAGGTCCATGGCGATGATGATGATAGGGATGGTGGGGACTTGGAATGCGAGTCATGGCTGGTGCAGAAATGCCGGATTGAGGATGCAGATGATGTAATGGGAGGATGATGCACCAGTGATGGCACATGTTTGTCTGGTTTGTTTGCCTGGCTGTTTGTTTGGTTTGGATCCTCATCTGATGCCAGTGAACTCGCTCGAAGGTAATGATGTTGTCCATCTTACAAATAGTGACACTGTTCTTCAAACTTAGTCAAGGCGCCCACCACCCACTGACTCCGGCGGTGGAAACATCTTTGTTCTATCGGTCAGATTTCACCCGCAGACTTCTTTGATTAGGGACCACTCAACTAACCCTAAATAGAGCAATGCATTGCTGATCGCTACTCCGTACCACGAGGGGACATCAAGACTAGGTCAGCCTTTAGTGAGCTGTCCGCATTTACGCGATCCATCTCGCGTGACCCGCCCCCAGTCCCACGCTTTCCCCATAATTTCCCCGGTCAAGGCGGGTCTTCCCCGGGTTTGTGGGTTTGTGCCGTCCCATACACCCTCATTTGCTCGGAATTCGTGCGCGGAAGTTGACCGAACCTCCCTCGGCCAAGCCAGAGCATGTCATTTCCCCGCCTGTCGAGGGATGCAGCCCTCTCCATCCAGGGAAAAAGACCTCGCAGCGGCTCCACGGTCCCTTTGCTAGAACGTGGGGGACCCCTTGTCCGCCAGTCAAACAGGGCGTTCCAGTGAATTCTCATCGATAAGCTCCTCGTGAAAACCCGTACGGTCGACAGGGGACATGCCGGATTACTCGCTCGGCAACCTGCGTTCCCTCCTCTAGCCCATGCATTCACCGACGCAGGTTGGTCAGACGATCAAGATGATTGGTGCCTCTCATTCACAAACTTCTCGCTCATTCCGATGCACCCCACACTACCGTGGTTGGTGTGGTACAGGCTCATCGCTCGCTCGGGGGGCATTGCTTTTTGACCCTTTATAAACTGCAACGTGACGCACTCCAGATGCATTCCCATCATATCTTTCTACTCAAGCAGTACTCTATTTGATTGTGTCTCTTTGCCTTACTATGGCTGGCTCGAAGAAACCGGTCAATATCTTCCGTCTGAGGAACCTCGGCGACCCGAAGGAGATCTTCAATTGGAAGCTATGGTTCGCCGTTCTCTCCTTTGGCCTGATGGGCGCAGCTCGCGGAGTGGACGAGGGGTTGATCTCGGGCGCTTTCAACTCCGCAGACTTCAAACGCACCATCCATTACAGCTCCTATAGCGCGGTCGAACAGACCAACATCAAGGCGAATGTGTCCGCTATGGTGCAGATCGGGTCGGTCGGTGGTGCTCTTTTGTAAGTCTTCCTGCCCCCAACCAATTAGGCCGTCGCTCATACAGGATGGTGTGCAGTGCTTTCCTCGTTTGTGACCGCATTGGACGAATCTGGGCTACTCGTCAACTGTGTGTCTTATGGATCATCGGTATTGCCATCTTTATGGGAGCCAACGGTAACCTGGGTGCGATCTATGCCTGTCGCTTTGTGGCCGGGTTGGGAGTAGGACAAACGGTTGTGGTTGGACCCGTTTACCTGGCTGAGATTGTGAGTGAGGCCCAGAACATGGATTGTGAATCCGACTAACCTGTTGGAGGCGCCTGCGTCTATCCGAGGCTTGTGTACCTGTGTCTTTACCGGATTCGTCTATCTCGGCATTGTACTCGCCTACTTCACAAACTACGGCTGCCAAGTGAACCTCGGAGACAACACCCACAAGCGATGGGTATGCCTCACCCACTCTCTATACCTGAGATGAATCTAACTGGCCACAGGAAATCCCCACCAGTTTACACATCATCTTCGCCGGTCTGATCATCATCCTCTCGTTCCTTCAATACGAATCCCCCCGATTCCTGATCAAGAAAGGAAAACCCGAACAAGCCCTGCGTAACCTCGCGCGCATCCGCAACCTCCCACAAGACCACGAGTATGTCGTGCGAGAGATCACCGCCATTCAGCAAGCCCACCAGGCCGAGCTGGAAGCCACCATGGGCGCCGGCTGGCTTGGCGTCCTCAAAGAGGCCTTCCTCATCCCGAGCAACCTATACCGCCTCTACCTGGCCGCCATGGCGCAGCTTCTGTCGCAGTGGTCCGGCGCCGGCTCGATCACGCTGTACGCGCCGGATCTCTTCAAACTCCTCGGCATCACCGGATCCAACGAATCCCTCCTCGTGACCGCCGTCTTCGGCATCGTCAAACTGGTCGCCGCCATCATCTGCGCGCTCTTCCTCGTCGACGTGATCGGTCGCAAACGCGCCCTCCTGCTAGGGATCACCCTCCAGGGCATCGCGATGGTCTACATCGCGGCCTTCCTGACGGACGTCCCGAAAATGGGCATCGACGACGCCTTCGTGCTCCCCGACTCGAAGAAGGGAATCAGCCGCGGCGCGATCGCGATGATCTACATCTCGGGCGTCGGTTGGGCCCTGGGCTGGAACTCGATGCAGTACCTCCTGACGGCCGAGCTGTTCCCACTGCGCATCCGCGCCCTGGCCACCTCCGCGGCGATGACCCTGCACTTTGTGAATCAGTACGGCAACTCGCGCGCCGTGCCCAACATGCTGCTGGGCACCAGCGACGGCGGCATCACCCCCAAGGGGACCTTCTGGTTCTTCACTGCGGTGACCGTGCTGGGCGGCGTGTGGGTGTGGTTCAGTGTCCCTGAGACCGCAGGACGGAGTCTGGAGAGTATGGATCGCTTGTTCGAGCTGCCGTGGTACAAGATCGGGCGGTATGGGAACCGCGATGCTGAGCAGCGGGATCTCGTGGTCAGTGAGAAGCAGGAGCATGCGGAGGAGCATTTTGGGACGGCGACGCATGAGGAGCGCGCGGATGTTGCGGCCAAGGTGTGAGTTGGTTGGTATGGGAGGTGGTGTTGTGGTGGGGTGGTGGTCTTTCGGCTGATACAGAATTCTGGGGGTGTCTATTTGGTCACTTGTGGGCTTATTCGAACCAGTTCCTCGAGTGGCTGTCCATCCACGTCTAGGGCTTAGAGCAGGGCTGGACAATACGCCGGTTGGTCATCTTCGTAGGCATGTTTCAATCTAAGAGATAAATACTGCGCATACAAGATAAAATGCAACATAGCTACCTGTGCGTGAGAACCAATCTTTAAGCAGAGCTCCACATCTACATCCCCTTTCCTTACTTTCTATAACCCCGTTACTCAGTGCAACAAACTACATCCATCCCCTACGTTTCCCACGCAAAGCTACAAATAGACCCAGGCTTCATAGATCACCCCCTAACAGAGTATAAACGAAGCGTAGCTGACCCTCGTAGCGCCCAACGCCCATGTCTACGCCAACATCAGCTGCTCTTCCTTCCAGGAATCACATTTCAAAGAGTCCGATCCGGACGATGTATTGCAATCTGTACCTAGATCGACAGAACTAATCCACCCTCTCGACGCGCTGCACCACCATCGCCGTCGCCGCGCCGCCTCCATTACAGATAGCTGCGACGCCATACTCGCCCGGCTGCAACTGGTGCAGCAGGGTCACGAGGATGCGCGAGCCAGAGCTGCCGAGCGCATGGCCCAGCGAGATCGCGCCGCCGAGGGGATTGACTCTCGCGTTCTCCAGCCCAAGGATCTAATTCCGTTAGCACGATTCCCTCTTCCGCGCCAGATAGCGCAACGTAAACGTAAACGTAAACGTACCTTCTCATTCGCCTTGATCACCGCCGCAAATGCCTCATTAAACTCCCACACCGCCACCTGCTCCTTGCTAATCCCGGCCCGCTGTAACGCGATGGGCACGGCCTTCGCCGGCGCGACCGGAAAGTCCACGGGATCGACCGCCGCATCCGCCGCAGCAACCACCCTCGCCAACACAGGGTTGCTCCCATCACCTGCAAACTCCCTCGCCAAGTCCCGACTCCCCAGTACCAGCGCCGACGCGCCGTCGTTCATGGTACTCGCGTTTCCGGCGGTAACGGTCCCCGACCCATCGCGGAGGAAGGCAGGCTTCAGCGCGCGCAGCTTGTCGGCGCGGAGACTCTCGAACCCCTCGTCCGTATCCACGACCGTCTCCTTGCCCTTTTTATCCCGGACCGTAACAGGAACCACCTCCGCCGCGAACCTCCCAGACTGCCACGCAGCCTGCGCGCGCTCATAGCTGCGGATTGCATAGTCGTCCTGCGCCTCCCGACTGACCCCGTGCTTCTTGGCCGTCGTCTCCGCGCAGATCCCCATGTGGATCTGGTTGTACACGTCCCACAGCCCGTCTTTAATTAAACCGTCTTCGAGGGTGATGTTTCCGAAGGGGGGCAGCTGCCCGCTCCGCGGCAGGTAGTAGGGCACCCGCGACATGTTCTCCATCCCACCGGCGATCTGCGCGCGGGAGAGTCCCAGTTGGATGTTCTGGGCGGCCAGTGCGACGGCTTTTAGGCCCGAGGCGCAGACTTTGTTGATGGTTGTGCAGTCGAGGGAGGGCGGGAGGTCGGCGAAGATGGCTGCCTGCCGGGCGGGGGATTGCCCGATGTTCGCGGAGAGGACGTTGCCCATGTAGAGGTCTGTGATTTCGGAGACTGGGACCTTGGATTTGGTGACTGCGGCGCGGATGGCGGTTGCGCCGAGGTGTGGGGCTGAGAGGGTGGCGAAGGGGCCATTGAACTGTTGCGGTTGGTGTGGTTAGTGGTGGTGGTAAGAAGAAGGCATTCGTTGGAAGAAAAGGGGGGGTCTGGGGGGTCCTTCCCCCATGTGTCTGGGGTGGGGTGATGATGATAAAGAGGGGGGTATGGGGGTCTCCCCCATGATCGGCATGGTGCTGCGACTTGGGTCGTATGGGCAATATGATTCGGAAGATGAGGATTAGAGCCCACCTTAGTAGTTGGCGTGCGAGCTGCACTCAGGATGTAGGCTTCTTCAATCTGAGATGGCCGGGTGGTGTGGAAGGCGCGCTGGAACGGAGGGCGTGCGGGGAGAGCCCGCAACACTCGAGTGGTGCGCTGCATGATGGGAGGGGTGGGCAGTTCACTTTACAGGCGAGGAAGGGAAGATGTTTTGAGATAGTAGTATTCTGATTGATGTAGGAGAGGTATTAGAGTGAGTGTAAGTGGAAGTGTAAGTGCAAGTAAGTCAAGTAAGGAGGGTATCGCAGGTATATCCAACAAGTTAAAGGAACGAAGTCCGCCTCCGCCCGCCTGTAGCCGCTGAGCCGCTGCCGAGGTAACCCCATCACGTGCGGGGTCACATGCGGGGTCGTCCCGGTCGCCGTCGCCGTCGCCGTCGCCCTTCCTCCGAAATTCCAACCATCAAACATAGGAGAACATAACACAGAAGACTGAATGAAAGACACACACCCAACATAACACCTGCACAACCCAACTACCGCCATCGCCCTAACCTCGACCCTCCACTCCGATCGTCCTCGTCCGCAATCCGCTCATCGCCCGGGAACATCGCCCAATAATCATTCATCGAGACCCGCGTGCGCGGTCGGGCCCGTCGATGCCCCATGCCTGGACTCCTCACAGCCGCGTCGTTACGACGCGCAAATGAAGTCTCCAACAACCGCGATCCTCGCTCCCGCAAATCCCGCGTCCCCTCTTGAATAATGCGAGGTCGTGCCTGCTGCAGCGTGTGCGACCGGGGCGTCGTTGGCGCGGGTCGAGCCCGTGAGTCAAGTCGCGTGGGATATGGCGATGCCGTGCGGGGACGGGCTGGCTCTCGGGGGAACGGGAACATGCGGCCACGGATGGAATGGGTGTCCAAGGACCGACTGCGGCGGTTCATCGGGCGGATGGGGATTCTGCTGGGTGGGGGGCGCGTCGGGATGCGACGCGTGGGGCTGTCGTCGCTGGAGTCGCCGGTCGTCGTGTCCTCCACTAGGCTGTTCTCGCTCGAGCTGGGCGGGATCTGCTCCAGGTTCTCGGCGAAGTGCACATGGCGCGTCGGGGTCATGCTCCGACTGCTCTGTTGCGGCGACACAGTCCGGAGGTGCGGCATCCCCGGCGTGGAGCGCGTCTTGCGGATGGGCTCCCGCTCCGTCACGGGGGAGCGCGGGCGCGGGGGCCGGCTCCGTCGCGGGGGGATGGGTGGAACAGCCCGGGGTGAGATCACCCTCGCGGCCTCAGACCGGGGCTGGCGAGCCTCCACCTCTACTGTTGGTCGGGCGGGTTGGGAGCGGGAACGAGGCCGGAATACCTGTTTGATTGCACGTGTCAGACGATGCTCATGCTCCGGGCTCGGGCGACATACCACTTGAGGATCCATCGCGATTGGGGATGTGGGTTGTCTTGGTTGGGTGACGAAGATCTGCTTGAGAACTTGTGTCAGCCGTCTCCGTTTGGGAGGGAGTGAGGGAAGTCCCACTGGTGATGGTGTGGCGGGTCGAGGCCGCCCTCGAGGCAGGTGTTCCTCGCGCAAAGGTCGTCCGCTTTGACGTGGAGCGGCAAATTGAATCGCGGGGGGTGATCGCGAGGGCGTCGATCTGTGCGAAGCCATGGGTCGCATGGGCGACACCAGCCGGGGCCCAGGGTGACGGGGAGGGTCGACCATGACGGGCGTGCGCTGCCAGGGTCGGTCGCGCGGCCGCCGGGGTGGCAGCGTCCGTCTCAGTTCATCGTCCGACGAGTCTGGCTGCCGTCTGAGAAAGGGAAACCGAAATTTGAAGCTCCCACTACGTCTGCGGGTGAGTGGCCTAGGCATACCGTGCAGGTCATCTAGGTCTCGCATGTTCGTGTTTACGGGCACCTCGCGGCAGTCTCGCTCGATACTGGTCTGCGTTGTTTCGCGGCACAGTCTGATCCAGCTTCGGGGGCAGCGCTTCACCTTCCACTCGATGCGCCTAATCCCCCCCGGAAGGACCTCGATACTTTCTCTGATATGACACATGATTAGCACAGAGCGTCTCTCAGACCTGCCGTGTACTAGGTGGGAAATACTCTATGACAGGTAGGTGGTCCAAAAATGACGTCGAAATTCTCTGACAGCAGGGCCGTAAGGCGGCCAGATATACTTGGCGGGGGGAGACTCGCGAATGAAACCTGCCCTCAAAGACAAGGAACGCGCACCGGCATCGTAGAGCAGCGGGAACAATAGGCGTGGCATCCGATCTCTTTGTGTAGACCGCGGCGTTGTTGTCGCAGCAAGGACAACGAGGGGGGGCGTGAAAGCAAGCGACTCTTGTTGTTCGGTGCCGGGCGACATGTGGTAGGAGTCATGAGTTCACCACGCCTGATGGAGAAAGGCGCAGAACATACGAGGCATCGGTTGGGTGCAGGTGGATACAAGGGGAAAAAAGACAAAAGAGATAAAGAGCGAGGGTTAGTGTAGAACCAAGGGGAAGAGTCAAAGGCATTATATCTACTGGACGGGAGATCACCGGATTCGTGCTTCGTGCCCTGGGCTCTTTTCCTTTCACACCAGCCTTCGTGTGGCTGAGCAGGTGGTGTATGGGTCAGAGTAGGTAGGTGTAGGCATAGCTATAGTAGGCACCAGACCATGCCTATTCCAAGCTAGACAGGAGTCATTCATATCTGCTCGTATCTTTTGGATTGTCGGTGAGTGTCCAGTATGGTGGTGTAAGTACCAGCCTTACGAAAGCGGTAGCGAGTAGTTACTACCAGTAGGTAGGCGATGATGGAGCAAGGTCACCCGGGCTCTCTCTTCCTCCCTCCTATCATCCAGCCCGAGTCACCTGGGCATTGCACTAACCAGATGACATGACATCACCGGCCTTTTCTTTTTTCTTTCTTGTCTTTTTCTTTTTCGTTTTATTTGATATCTTGGCGGTGAGAGATTGACCAGGATACACATCGAAGAAATCAGCTGCACCACGTAACGGTACAATACAGTACTTGAGAAGAGCCTCTTGTCTTCATGATCTCTTGGAGTCATCAGAGCGAACCCGATCGAAGAAGCTGCTCCTGCACTGCAACCGCGGCAGCCTGCAGCCACCAACAGACCCGATCCCGATGGTTGGTTGGTGGGGATGGCTTGGTCCCTGGCTCGTCCCTGTATACCATCATCACCGAAGCTAGTCAGCCCCGTATAGAACCTGAATCGAAAAGAATTTGGAAGAAGGGATTAATAGGTAGCGATTTTGGCCTGCCGTGTACCGTAGATAGTCCCTGCGGGTGTGCCTGACCTGACCTGCCCGAGCCACAGTTCGTATCGCAGCCACAGCCTCGTGGTGTGGCGCTCGGGGGGGATAGGATCTCGGCCAATCACTGATGGGGTTTGGGGAGTGGTTGGATGGCGCGATTGTATGCGTGGGTGGATGTTGGTTTGCATGGCGGATCGGTCCGGTGCATACTTTCTTGGAGATTTGTGGTCCATTGATGGAGGTGAAGATAAACCGGGGGGAGGCATTATTAGAGGTGATGGCGCAGTTGCTGAGCCACGATCCTTCCCACTTACTAGTCCTACTGATGACGGGTGATTCTGTTTCCTGCAGAACAGGGAGGGACACAGGCCCGTGAATGGAGTTAAGGTGGTTAAGGTGGTTAACCAAACAATGGCATTATGATACTGACTATACTACAGTCACTAACTATCCAGACCGAGGCTAATTCTCCACGTCCACCACCTGCCCCGTCTGCAGCGCCCGGCCGATCGCCTCCACCACCACCAGCGCCCGCAATGCCTCCTCCCCCGTGCACACAGGCTCAACTTTCCCCTCCAGCACCTCCACAAAGTGTGCCAGCTGCAGCGCGAACGGCGTCTGCGTCGTGTCCACCGCCGCCCGCTCCACGGCCAGCTCCTCGTTCCAACTGCGCTGCGCGCGGCCCTCGTAGCTCCACAGCCGCATGTCCGGGACGCTCAGCGACCCCTTTTGCCCGAAGATCCGGTAGAACCCTTCGCCGCCTTGCCCCTGCACCTGCGGGATGAGCGGATTCTCGCCGGTGCCGGCCTCGAAGCTCCATGGCGCTGGCGTGGCGTCGCACACCAGGAAGGTGCCGACCACGCCGGAGGCGAACCGCAGGGTGATCGCGGCGCCTTCTTCGGCGTCGTGCGGCGGGGATGGCCGAGTGGAGGGGGTTTGCTCGGCGAAGACCCGCGTGATCGGGCCGAAGAGGTAGTGCAGCAGATCGATGTCGTGGATCAGGTTGATGGAGAGCACCCCGCCGCCTGTGGTGGTGCTGCGGCGCCAGTCGCCCGGTGGGGCGAAGTAGCTGTCGGGTTTGTACAGGGTCCAGAGGCCGTTGAGCGCGATGAGCGGGCCCAGCGCGTTGCGGGAGAGGAGCTGCTTCGTGGCGGTGATGTAGGGGTTGAAGCGGCGGTGGTGGCCGATGAGCAGTTTCGGGGATGACGGGGTGAGGGTGGAGAGGAGGGCGCGGGCCGTGGCTGGGTCGTCGCTGATGGGCTTCTCCAGCAGGACGTGGATGCCCTGCGCCAGGAGGTCGGTGGCAATGGGGATGTGCGTGTGGTTGGGGGTGCAGACGATGGCTGCGTCGGGGCGCGGGGTGGAGGGGCTGGCGAGGAGGGCGGCCACGGAGGGGAAGTAGGCTGTCTGCAGGGTCTCGGCCGTTTGGACGGCGTTGGGGGAGGGGTCCACCAGGGCAAGGAGGTTGGTATTGGGGTTGGCCTGGACGGTTTGGGCGTGGCGGGGGCCGATCAGGCCGGCCCCGACGATGATGATATTGAATGGCATGTTGGAAGGTGCTTGGAGGTGGTTGTTCGGTGGAAGAGCAGCTGGGGAGCAGCTAGTTATACCCCGTCACAGCAGTTGGGTCCGGGGTAAACGGTGGACCCTGGAGTGGGTCGTTCCATGACATGTCTGACTCACAGAACTTTGTGTCTCTGGATGATCGGATAGAGATTGGGATAGACAGAGGCAGCGACGAGTTGTGTCTGGACCTGGTGGCTAAACGAGATCTGGGGATGAGTCCTTATCCGGGAGGAGTATACTTGACCTTGTTGACCTTGGATCTTGATGAAGCTGCTCTAGAGGGGTAGACCTTGATCCGGATGATTGTGAATGGTATCATAAAGTCAGTGAGAATATCTAGGTATCCTAGACCCTGAGCCTGGAAGCATCCCGTGTGGGTGAATGCTTTTGAAGTGATGGTATCAAGAAAGCAGACAATCCGAGGCGAAGAAAGCACAAGCTGGAAGTGCCGAGAGCAGTCCCCGTCCCCGCCCAACCGGCGCCGCCAGACCGGGGCCGGGTCGGGCGCGATGCCTCAGGCGTCCGGCCGGTGTTTGCACTGTTGCATTAATTTATTGCTTTTGGTACCACGGAAAAGTCTTGGCTTCCCTGTTGCGAGTCTCCTCTTGGCATCGACACTGCCACTCTCCCTCTCCCTTTCCCTCTCCCTCTCACTTCAAGGGATGGCATTCCAACCAGAATGCTCCTGGTTGATTCATTCGAAGATACTCAGTTGATGTCTCTCACCACTTCATCTTTCACCCCCGACTAAAAAGGCTGACGAGGCCGATCATGGCCGCGTCGACCCCGGATTTCCGCCCGGCGGACGACTCGGCCGCCCCGGCCGCGAAAGAATTATCTTCCCTGAGCTTTTTCACCACCAAGCTGGACTTCTTTGTCCATGCCCCCAGCTTGGATGATCTCTGTGGCATCTACCACCCCGTGGTAGCTCTGCTCGAGACGGGCGTCCATAATGGTCTCTGGTGGCTGGACGTGACCGCGGCCTCCGATGAGGACATTGAGACCCTCGCGCGGAGCTTCGGTCTCCACCCGCTGACCGTCGAGGACATCACGCTGCGAGAGACGCGCGAAAAGATCGAGCTCTTCGAATCCTACTACTTCCTCTCATTGCGACCGCCCAGTTCTCGCAAGACCGACGAGGGCGTGTGCATCATCTCCCACAACCTCTACGCTGTCGTCTTCCCGGAGGGGGTCCTCAGTTTCAATTTCGGGACCAGCTTGCACGCTGACCACGTCCGGAATCGTATCAAAGAGCACCGGAGCCATCTGGCGTTGACTAGTGATTGGATCTGCTACGCTATCATGTACGACTTCCAATCCATCTTTCCTTCCTCCACGCTAACTCTAGTCTCTCAGTGACGCGATCGTCGACGGCTTCGCCCCGTTCATTGCTCGCGTGGAGACCGGTGTCGACCTGATGGAAGATCACATTGCCGTGACCCGCCCGGACGAGATTGGACTGGCCTTACAGCAGATCTACAAGTGGCGCAAGGAGGTGATTCAGATCCGGCAGCTGCTGCATGACAAGACGGACGTGATCCGGTGCTTCGCCCGCCACTGCGACGCGCTGGCGGCCACGTCGACCCAGGTGGCACTGTACCTTAGTGACATCCGCGACCACGTGTTGACCATGATGGCCAATCTGGAGCAGGCGGAGCAGATGCTCTCGCGGTCGCAGTCGAAGTATCTATCGCAACTGCACTTTGACTCTGGGCGCATGCGCAATGAAATTGCCACGGCGCTGAGTCGGTTGACTGTCGTGGCGGCGACGATCGTGCCGATGCAGTTCATTACAGGGCTTTTTGGGATGAACGTCATGGTTCCGGGCAAGTCGCCGGGAGGCCTGGCATGGTGGTATGGGATTCTCGGGGTCATCTTGGGATTGATCGTGTTGTTTCTGCTTGTGGCGAAGAGAATGAGGCTATTTGATCGATAATCTACCAAATCACGAAGCGCAGGCGCCTACAACCATCCACACCATTACGCCTTGACAAGCCTACGGCCTAGTCATGCCTTAGAACCGCCTCCACCAACTCCGCCTGTCGTGCCAGCACCTCTTCCCTCAGCCGCCGTCCGACCAACTGCACATGACAAGGCGCGCCTTCCACTTCCTCCGGTCGATCTGCACCCCATCAGTTGGAGTTTCACAGTGGTTGATGGAACACTTACAAGGGGGTCGATACACTGCATCCTGTCTGAACCATTCCCGATCCGCAGCAGCATCTGACCTGCCGAACGGCAGCACGCAGCTCGGACTCTGTACGCCATCAGCACCCAATGCCCCAAACCCAGGGTGTTAGAGTAGAACATACATCCACCAAATTCCAAAACACCGTATACCACACATGACTATACGTATCATGCGGCAGGGCGCAGCTCTGGTACGCCGGCGCCAGGATCACATCCAGCTTCTTGTCCACAAACACGCGGCGCGCCTGCGCGGTGATCTCGGCCTTTCGGGCGGTCAACCTGAACAGATCGCGCAGGGTCGGGTTTGGGTTCGTCTTGCTGGATCCATTGACGATCCCCACGGACGGAACGGGCGGCTCGCCCGCTGCATGCAGATGCGATTCCGCTGTCCGGTTGGCGTCAAGCCCGAACAGCCCGAACGCGATCTCATTCCCCTCCTCCATGTCCGGAAATTGCGTAGTAACATCCACAATCTCGTGGCCCGCAGCCGCGAGCTTCTCCGCCGCCCGATGCAGGTTCCGCGCGATGTTAGGGTGCAGCGGCAAACCGGGGTGCGCCGTGAACAGCCCGATCCGCAGCTTCTCGCCATTCCCTTGCTCGGCTACAGCCCAGGGAATTCCCAACGCATTATCATCAAAATCAAAAGGCGGCACATCGCAGACAGTCTTCATGAACAGATTCGCATCGCGGACAGAGTGGCAGACAGGCCCAATCACCGCGGATATCCCCGACAAATACCCGGCGACGGCGGGACTCATGACGCCGGCGTGGGGCACGCGGCCCATGGAGGGCTTGAAGCCGACGAGCCCGCAGCAGTGGGCGGGGATGCGGATGGAGCCGGCGATGTCGGTGGCGACACCGAGCAGCGAGCCGCGCAGGGCGACGAGGGCGCCCTCACCGCCCGAGCTGCCGCCGGCAGTCAGCGTGCGGCGGTGCGGGTTGAGCACGCGGCCGAAGACGTTGTTGTGCGAGTCGGCGGTCATCAGCGTTTGGGGGACGTTGGTCTTGACGTAGATCACGGCGCCGGCGGCGAGCAGCACGTCCACGAGCGGCGTGTTGGTGGTGGGGAGTGGTCGGTCCAGGAAGTGCACGTAGCCCAGCGTCGAGGCTGTCCCGGCTACGTGGAACATGTCCTTGATGCTGACGGGTAGCCCGTGCAGGGGGCCGACGGGCTGGCCTGTCCTTGCGAGGTGTCGGTCGAGCTCCTGTGCGCGGGTCTGGGCTTGCTCGAACATCGTCTCTGTGAGGCAGTTGGTTAGTTGTTGGGCGATGGCCGCGCGCTTGCTGAAGGCTGTGGTCACTTCAACGGCTGTGTAGGTGCCGTCGGCCAGCTGGGCGAGCAGGGTCGTCGCGTCCGCCGTCTCGGTGATGGCCAGCTCGCGCGGGGTCAGAAGCCCGCTGTCACGCGGGATGGAGAGGACATTCTCGGGGGAGATGGGGGTGGCTGTCGCTAAAAGAGAGGCAGGGAGGCGCCATTCGGCGGGGATCTTGGCCAGGGCTTCGGCCTGCTTGGCTTGGACTTTTTGTTGCCAGGTTATGGTGGTCATGGTGTGTCGTCGTTGTGATTGTGAGTGTGAGTGTGAGTGTGAGTGTGAGTGTGAGTGTGAGTGTGAGTGTGAGTGTGAGTGTGAGTGTGAGTGTGAGTGTGAATGAGTGTGAGTGTAAGGTTGAGGGATGGAGGGGAGGAGGTGTAGGTGCAGTGCAGTGCAGTGCTTGTACGAGGGTGAATGGCGTGCGGGGTGAAGAGGGGTTGAGCTGATCGTCGGCGAGACGGCCAATGCGAGGGTGGTGTCACCTAGCGTTGAGGGGGTGGGATACTGAGATAAGTTCACTCTGGATGCACTCTGTTCCAAATAGTGTTATCCTCCCACATCTCTCCTCTGCAGTGTAAGCATCTACTTAAATGAGGGTGTATGCCCAGCATATGAACAAAGTATAGAGCAGGCAGATGTGCATCCACAGCATTGATTAGTAAGTATGCACACCGTATGAATATATACTGAAAACCTTCTGCAACCTTGCTAGAAGAAAGCAAGGCAAGATTCTAGATCTTCCTACTTCACTTCTTCCATGTGCTCAATTGACTAATCAGTGGATAAGTCCCGAATATTCCTCACTTTGTAGATTCGGGTGTTTTCATAGTGTCCTGTACTGCACTGTACCCTCTGACGTCTCGTCCACGCCCTTGTCATGACATGCTCCACTTTTCAATTTTGCACCCCAGACCCATGTTTCGGGGTGGGCCACCGAGGGTAACCGACCAGATGTGAATCATCTCGAGTCTTTTCATAGATTCTTTTAACCTCTGCGCCTCTTTCTATCACCGAAGTGCTGTCACATACACAAACAACTTCCTCGGGTGGCCTACAGTACCTCAGCCAACCTACGGCAAGACAGCCACCACAACCCTCACCTCCACCTCCACCTCTATCACTCCCAGCAAAATGGCCTCAACCTCGACCTCCACCGCAGTACAATGGCAAACCGCCCCCGCCATCGAACTGGAGTCGCGCGCCCCCAAACACCCCCTCGCAGCACCCACCTCCGCCGCCTTCGACGACGCGATCATGCAAGCGTCCGCGCAGGCCGACGCCGAGGTGCCCGACGGCGGACGCGGGTGGGTCGTGATCGGGGCGTGCGCCGTGCTGACCTGGTGGGTGATCGGGACCTCGTACTGCTGGGGGGTGCTGCAGGCGGCGCTGGTGCAGGAGGGGCTGGCGGCAGCATCAACGCTGGCGTTCGTGGGGTCGCTGGCGACCGCGTGCATCTCGTTTTTGGGGATCGCCAACGCGCAGCTGATCCGGAAGCTGGGGACGCAGAGCAGCGCGATGCTGGGGGTGTTCTGTCTGGGGCTGGGGTCGATTCTGAGTGGGTTCTCGTACCGCAGTGTCGCCGGGTTGTTTGTTACGCAGGGGGTGGTGTTTGGGGTGGGCATTAGGTTCGTCTTCATCTTTTAACCAGAAATGTGGCGATAGGGCTGATACCTCTATGCAGTATGTGTTTCATGGTCGTCTCTACCATCCCCGCGCAGTACTTTAGGGCCAAGCGCGGCACCGCCAACGGCGTCGTCTACGCGGCCGGTGGCCTCGGCGGCACCGCGCTCAGCTTCCTCATCAACGCACTCCTAAATAGCGTCGGCACCGCCTGGACCTTCCGGGTGATCGGGCTCCTGACCCTGGCCACGGGGCTGCCGGCCGCGTGGCTGGTGCAGCAGCGCATCCCGATCCCGCGCGCTGCGTTTGTGGAGTGGTGCGTGCCGCTCCTTTCCCAGAACCCTAACCAACTTCCCTCGAACCCCCGACCTGACCAGAAATAGGCGCCTCTTCCGCGACGTCCGCTTCTGCCTCCTCTTCGCCGTCGGCGCCATCGCCACCTTCCCTCTCCTGGTACCCCCCTTCTTCCTGCCGCTCTACGTCAACGCGCTGGGCATGGGCTCCACGGCCGGCGCCGGCGTCGTCGCCGCCTTCAACTTCTCCTCCGCGCTGGGCCGGCTCACCTGCGGCTTCGCGAGCGACACCATCGGCCCGTTGAACACGTTGTTCGGCTCGCTGCTGCTCTCCGCCTTGAGCATGCTGATCATCTGGCCCGTGTCGACGTCCATCGGCCCGCTCATTGTCTTTGTGGTGATCAATGGGATGTCGAATGGGGGGTTCTTCTCGACGATCCCTACGGTGGTGGGGAATGTGTTTGGGTCGGCTAGGGTGGGCGTCGCGATGGGGATGATTGTTACGGGGTGGGCGGGGGGGTATCTTCTTGTGAGTCTTGCCTTTTCTTTTCTTGGCAGAATGGGTGGGTTTGCTTGTTTGTGAGGGAGGCAATACTGACAGTGGGTAGGGCTCGCCGATTGCAGGTTACATTCTCGACGCGTCGGGGGGTGAAGGGGCAGGCACGAAGGCTTATCGGCCGGCGATTCTGTATGCAGGGTTCATGGCGCTGGCGGCGACGGTGCTGTCGGTGGGGATTCGAGTGAAGACCAGCGCGAAGCTGGGGAAGCGGGTTTGATGTGTTAGCCAGAAAAGACTTGACTCACTTTATTCGACATATAGACCGTTGGAGATTACGTCAAAACACATAACTCACCTTAACAAGAACCATAATACCATAATACACCATCCGGGGGAGGGGTCGAAAGAAAAGAAAGAACTTAGGGCTCGAAATAGCTAGCTGGTGGCGGCGACCGGCATAACCCCATAAGAGCGAAAGCATGAACTCCCGGATCGACGTCACTTCCGCATCGCCAAGGAATCGGAGCAAATCTCATCTGTGATACGAGCTCCAAACTAAAATCCCTCTCCTCCCCTTGACCTGCGCGTATGGATGCCAAGGATCCCTCCCTGGTGGCCAGATCGCCGGGATGCGGTCTTGCTCGGTCGGGGATCTGCAGCATGTCACAACCTAACATAACCTTATCGCTTTGCCATCCCGCCCCATCGCCAAGACCGAGCATGCATCACTCTGAACGGTAGATCTGCCCACATAACCTCACAGAAAGACAGGTCCCATGGCTTGGGGGTAGGGACAGCCCTGGGCGGGAAAGGGGGCTGTGTAGACTGGTGATGGTGATAATGATGATGATGATTATGATGCTCGCATTGGGGCATCAAGTCTAGACCCCAGTTATAGACCCTCAAGCAGCAGCTACTAACTAGACTATTCGTAGCTGCGATACAGTATGCACCAGAGATCTATAAAAGCCCTCCCAATCCACGCCAGAACAGTGGTATCGAAGCAGACACCAGCACAGGTCCAACACACACAGTACATTCACCCAGTCATCTCAGCACACGACACAAACATCCCCACCAGTCCACCTTATTATATTGTACATCATGAAATCCCCCATCTACGCCGTCTTTCTTCTTCCGCTGGCCCTAAACGCCGCCGTGACCGCCAACCCAGTGGAAGCCCGCGGCAACGACGGAGGCAGGAAAGACTACCAAAGCGAGAACCTGAACCCCTGCCAGGTCCGGGTGTCCTATCCCTACTACAAGTTCCCCTGCGCGTCGAGCCCAGAGAACGGCACCTCGATTCTGGGGGCGACGTTTACTTCGTTCTGTTTCTATGAGTACGCAACCTCCCTCCCCTTCCCTTCCTTGTATCGCGGTTGAGATTGAAGTAGTTGAAGTGAGTTCTGTGGCGCGTTGCGATTACTGATAACTGGGCCTGGTGGTAGGAATGGCGAGGAGTACGGCGAGGAGTCCGGCAAGTGGTTTAAGACGCCCCGCGGCTGGGTCAAGGATGAGGATAAGCCGAAGCGGTGTGGTATGTTCTTCATCCTGATCTTGAGTGGTGTATGGATGAAAGAGGGGAGGAGTGAAATGGACTGGGCTGATAGTTGCTGTGTTTAGATGGATCGACGGTTGAGTGCGTCATTTAGGGCACTGAGATTGAGCCGGGACTGTATGGGCACACTCCAATAATTGGGAAAAGTTTGTTTCTGCTAATGGGATATATGGGTCGAGGCACCGCTCTTTATACCAGTTTGGGGGAGGTTAGCAAGCGTCCTATTGTGCTTTTGCTTAGCTGGTGTGTATATTGTTCTCCGGGGGCGGAGCGCCTGCGAGAAAAAGGAGGACAAAATGTGTTTGCGCATTGAATTATCTGTTGGAAAAGCTCTGTACCTACCTCCTACTAAATCTGATGTCTCTTCGGCTCGAGAATCCTTTATGGGACAACACGGTGATGGCGTAACAGGCAAGAAATGACCCAAACAAAGGCTCGACTGCCACTGCACACAACCAGAATTCACCCCCTTCCACCCCCACTACCCTTATGTGTAGACAGCCAGCCAGCCAGCCAGCCAGCCAGCCAGACAGACGACCAGACACATCTAATAAGCATACACCACCCCCTCCTGCCCCCCCGGCACCCTCCCCTCGCGAATCGCGCGATTCGTCCTTCGCAACCACACCCTCAACGCCCACGCACTGGCAATCGTGAGCACCCCGAACGCCGCATTCGCCGACATGGCCACCAAATACCGCGGCCCATCGCTCTTCGGATACAGATACGCCGTGTAGACATACGAAGCATTAGCCACGACATTGACGACGGACAGCGAGGCCGCCTTCTTGGCCGGGGTCTGGCCCAGCGTCGCCGACACCCACCCCAGGATCACCGAGTTGACCGCGTACGCGCCGCTCGCGAACAGGAAGCAGGCCAGATACCGCGCGGCGGTGTTGAGCGTCACGCAAGCGATGATGAATCCGACGACGGCCATCCCCATGCTCCCGGTGATGTGCCAGGTGCGCTCGTTGTAGCGGCCCGAGGTCGTTCCGATGAGGATGCTACATACCCCCGAGACGAGGTAGGGCGGGCAGGTGAGGACGAGGGTCATGGTGCGGTTGAAGCCGAGGCTGCCAACGACCGTCGGGAAGAAGTTGTTGAAGCTGCAGGCGCTGAGGTGCATGTTTTGCATGAAGGCGAGCAGGTACAGGCGTGGGTCGCGCAGGGCGTCGCGCAGGGCGGTCCAGGTGCTGCTGCTGCTGCTGGTGCCTTCGGGGCCGTGGGCGACGGTGTCGCGCGTGATGCGGTCGTGCGCGAGTTGGCGCTCGGCGGGGGTGAGCCACCGCGTGGTGAGGGGGTGGTCGGGGAGCATGAGGAGGCCCAGGGCGGCGATGAAGAAGGTCACCACCCCCTCGATGATGAAGAGCCATTGCCAGCCCTTCAGGTTGTGCTTTTGATCTAAGGTCGCGAAAGTGGCTGCCGCGATGAGCCCCGCTACCGCGGTCGCGACGATGTTCCCCGTGTATAGGATCGAGATGCGCAGAGCGATCTCCTTGCGCGTGTAGAACAGGGACAGCAGGAAGAGTGCCCCCGGGTAGAAGGGGGCCTCCGTCACGCCGAGGAAGAACCGGACCAGCACCAGCGAGACGTAGTTCTTGGTCAGCGCTGTGAGCGCCGAGACGATCGCCCAGCTGGCCATGCAGACGCTCATGAAGAGCGAGGGGCGGATCTTGGGCGAGGACATGAACATGTTTGAGGGGATCTGCATGAGCAGGTAGCTGGGCGTGGTCAGTTGGGGGGTGCTGTGGGCATGGATTTGCTTCACCTACCCGATAAATAGGATCGAGATGCAGGTGTTGTATTGCGTGCCGACCAGTTTCAGGTCTTCTTCGAGGTTGTTGAGACGTGCGTTGGCAATGGCATTGCGATCCAGCTGGAGGAATGGGTCAGTGGAGGAACTGTCTTGGAGGTGGGCACATCACCAACATAATTGAGGAAATACATCATCCACAGAATGGGCATGATTCGCAGGTCCAGCTTGCGGACGAGACGGATTTCCACCTCGTCGGTCTTGGCCGTGGCTCCCGAGTAATCGCCCCCTTTTGCATCAAGCAGCCCAGCAGACTTGATGTCTTCCACGTGCATATTGCTGGTCTTCTGCGCCTCGAGGGCGAGATCGATCTTCTCTGAGGCCTGCGCTGGCATCGCTATCTTCCAGTAGTGGGTTGGTTTTGAGTTGAGAGCAAGAAAGAGTGCATTGCAGCAGTAGATCTGTAAGGCCTGACAACCGATTTATAGCCATGGCTTGTGAGTGTTCACCGGTCAAGGAAACACCGTAGATATCTCCAGCATCAATGAAGTGCCTGTCAACATGGGTGTATCCACCATCGGATTGTCGCAGCTGTCACCCCAGATTTTCCCCGCGTCCCCCACAGTAACGCGGGGAGATCCTGAGTCCGGGAGAGACTTAGTCCGGGTATTCGCCACGTGCTGGGACATTCTCTGGGACGGAAAGCAATACGAGACGGAGGGCCTTGGCATGGCTTGGATGCTTGGCTGGTAGGGAGTGGTGTAAGCTCTTGGGTTCGATGCTGGGCCAGTGCTATTCGCATAATGTACTTTATGCGTCTTGATAGCGAGACGAACATTTACTCCCAGTGTAGCCGTCAGGGCGGCGATGTAGCGGTAGTTCTCGCACACGGCTGAATTTATATTGAACAGCCTGTACTTAGGAATCTGCATAGGGAGGCCAGACAGCGTGAGACCAGAGACCTATTCAGGCTATCGGAGCGATTATTCGTGATGTATTGAATAAAAAGCCACTTCGAACGTTTGTAGACTACAGACCGGACCATCCAGCTCACGCGATCAGGTGTCGACCCGAGCCCTGATGGGACCACGGCGTGCAGGGCCTAAACGCAGACTTGGCGTAGGCGGAGATGTCATACCCCGGGTGGCGCAATAGCCTCTTGCGAAGAACGACAAAGTTACCTGTAGGATTGGTTGCCAGTCGCTCGATTGAACTTGATACATGTTAGCGAGGGCGTGATGCAGCCATTGCGCACGGCTCAAGCTTGCGCATGCTGGCTAGCCTAGTGCTCCTTTATTGTGCAAGAATTATTGCCCTGTCTGGCCCCGAAATGCCATAATCAGTACTGGATGCACAAGGCGAGGCCGCAGATACCATAACGGCAGATGCAGCTGGTTTGAAGTGGCGAACTGGAGTGGCTGCTCTAGACCTGGCCAGGTGACCTGGGTACAGGAGAGAGGTACACCTAAGCATACATTTGTTCTTTGATTGTCCTTGATGCTCTGCTAAAAACTCTAAAAGCCCCCCATATAATACATTATCTCGGCTCCTTTGTGTCGGCTCCTTTGTGTCGGCTCCTTTGTGTCGCCGAACAACCACCTACTAGTTTCGGAGACATCACCAAAACGCCCACAATACTACCATAGCCACGCCTATCGCCAATGAACTAGTGAGCGAGAGGCCAGCAGGTGCAGCATTCTCGCTGCTAGTAGTCGAGGCCGCGGATTTATCCGCGATTTCAGTACCAGTAGAGCCCGTAGTAGTGGCTGCAGTGCCAGTGTCCGTAGCAGATGCTGACAGCGCGGACGATGAAGACGATGTCTTGGGACACACGTTGTTGTACACGTACTGCTCCGGATCACCACTGCAAGTCGTCGCAGACCCAGCGTCGTACGTGCCGTTCGGGTAGATCCAGCAATTGCCCGAGGCATACGTCGAGTTGTCTGCATTCTCCGGGTTGAAGACGACATAGCTGCAGGAGTCGGCCTCGGCACATAGACTCAGACACTCTGGTGCACCGGTACTAGCGAGGCAATCATCAAAGCAGTCGCCGGGCGCCGGGTATCCGCAGACCGAGGCGACGGCGGTGGGAGTCGCGGTGGCGGCGCAGGCGCCAGCAGTGGTGGTGGTCGCGCTGCCGCCGGAACACACGGGCTCGCTATAGACAGATAGGTAGGGATTGCTGCAATCGGAGCTCCCCTCGCTCGCGTTGTAGGATTGCCCCGGATACACCCAGCACGTGCCGGATCCGGTGAGAGGGTCGCCGGCGGCGAAGATCACGAAGCTGCACGGAGGGTGGGCGTTGCAGTAATCCCAGCAGTAGGCCGTGCTCCCGCTGGCGATGGCAAAGTCGTCGCCCGGGGCCGGGTAGTCGCAGAGACTCGTGATGAGGGAAGCTGTACAGCTTGCCGCCGCGGCTGTGGAAGTGGTGGACGTAGAGGTGGTGGAGGTAGCAGTGAGGGCTGCTAGAGCCCGGGGTACCGTCAGGGCGGTAGCGATCCAGAAACGAACGGTCTTCATGGTTGGCTTGTAGCAAACGTAGTTTGTAATAAGAGAAATGAATATGTCTAACTGTGGGAGGAATAGGAATGTTGGTATTTAAATGGGCGCGCCGACTGAATTAAGTACTGTCCCCAGATGGTGGAAAGGGGTAACAAGCCTTGTTAACCAACCATCCCACAGACTAGCAGGAACAAGCCCTGGCGTAGTAGATGAACGGTGGAGAAACCTTACATACTCCTGGGCACTTGAAGCCTTAATGGGCAATTGATTGGAGGGATGAGGATAGCCAGGGCCGACTCGGCAAAAGTGGGGTCGGGGATCGGGGCTGAGGGTTGCCCCCGATCAGACCAAGGGCAGATGAAGCGAAATTGTCCGCTCCCAATATGCAATAGTGTTGCGCTAGTCAGGGCCGGCGTCGGTTAGCCCCCTGCTACAATCTGAGAGGATACGAAATGGCCAGTAATGCTTGAGAGTCTGCTTTTACCTGCGGGGGCTGTTCTGTGCTACCTTTGCGCAGTGTGCCCCGGAGTCTGTTCACGTGCCATTTATAACATGTAAAAGAGGCCTGAGTGTGTGTGCGAGTCCGGCTGTAAAACAGTAACTAGGAATTGTGAAGTGAGCCTAGATTCTCACCGGGCTTATTGTATTTGGGTTATAAAGGTTAGGAAGCAAACTTTGGTTTTATTCTATCTTTTCTCTTCCTCTTTCACGGCTTGACATTTTCCAACGGAAGCACGGAAGCTAGTGTTAGGCTACCAAACATTGCAACCTTCAACAGGCCCTTCCCTGTGAAATAAGCTGCGACCTCTTCCAGGATCAGCTATAAATCGATGTAGAAGTCTAAGGCAAAAGAAAGCTCGCTCTGTTAACTGCTCAGACAAACCAATTTCCATGATAAGAACCGCTTGCGATGACACCCTTTCGAGTCGAAATAAATTATTATTCATATACAATTCCAGGTTTCTCTATCATTAGCCGAATCAAATATATGGCCTGCAGCTCAGCACAGAAACTCTTACAGCGTGTACTGGAAGGGGTTTGTGATGTAAAATGACCTTGGAACTGGAGTCAGGGCTGGTGTGTTTTGGCAGGGCAGAAACATCTTTCGCCTGTGGCTATCGCACGGGGCTAGGAAGTCCTTTATCAACGGGTCTTATTTTAAAGTATATTTTCAGGTGGTGGAGCATTGTTAGTCAAGTATATTGTGCCATGTATTCTGAGTTATGGATCGGAGTTCTTGAGATAAGCACTAGTTTCCGCTGGCGTGACCAAATATGGCATATGATAGGGACGAGGAACCAACTACTCGGCATCAGAGAGCAGAAGCCATGGCGAAAGTAAAGGGGGAAAATGCATATCCAGGGTTAGTCCTCTACAGCACTTGTATACCCTTGGCCAGAGAGCAGGCAATTGAAGATGATCATGGTTATGCATGATGACCTTTGCACGGCTGAGGAAGGATCTTTCCTGTATCTGTGCAAGCTGTGTTGTCCATGTGTAGTAGTTGTTTAGTACCGACCGAGTCATATGTGGAAGTACGCATCGCGATCCAAATTTACATGGCACCATACAAGACATGGCTCGTTCACCTCCCTGTCCAGACTCTCTGTATAAGCGATACCTGTTCCGCTCAGCCTTATAGAGTCCCTAAGATGGATCCGAGGCATAGAACTCGGGACAATGGCGGGAAGACTTTATGTTAGGGAGATTTCGTCACGCTACCCCGAATGCCAGCCAGATGCACGTTATGCACCCTCTAGCGTGATCAGCATACATTTTCAAGCGATCACGTATTTACATTAGGTGTTCTGGGGATCCAAAATTGAGCGACTATAATTACTCGGCCGACATGCAGATGTGGTTGCTGGAAATGCAGCAGAAATGTTGGAGGGGCATTGCGTGACCGGGCTGCGCGTTGGCGGCATCGACTCAAAAGTAGGGCAACGCATTGGTCGCAGCTCAGCGACACCTCAGCCCTAACCACTGCATTTTTCGAGCTATTCATCTATCTCCCGGTCTGATTGACTATTTTCCTCGGGTAGATATCTGAGTCTGAGGTCTAAGTCTATCTATCGCCCGATACTTATCATTCTGTACCCCAGAGCCGGGAATGACCCCTACTCCCCTCGTTATCACGCCATCCCGGCCCACATTGATGCTACGGACGCAGATCAACCGCACAACGCCCGGACAGTATAAATCATACCAGGGTGTCGCGCCCTGAGCTACTTCTGTTTCTTCGAGGGTCCGGGTATTGTTTTCACATTCACAGCATCACCGAATCCATACCGCAAATCAACCATGTCATCCACCGAGCCCCCGCGCCCGCGCAAATCTCTCATCCTCAACGCCTTCGTTGAGATGTGTAAGCCTCCCCCCTTCTCCTCCACACTCCACCTCTTGAACAGAAGCTTACCCCCAGAAGGCAGCGGCCATCAATCCCCAGGCCTGTGGCGCCACCCCGAGGACGAATCGCACCGCTTTAACGACATCGAGCATTGGACGGAGCTGGCGCAGCTGCTCGAGGCGGCTAAGTTCCACGGCATCTTTATCGCGGATGTTCTTGGTAACCCAACCCCTCTCCCCTAAGTTCCTTTTGAGAAAAATTGAAAGATCAAGTGCTGAGAAAGTGACAGGCGGCTACGACGTGTACAAGGGGCCCCGCAATCTGGGGCCGGCGATCGCCTCGGGCGCCCAGTGGCCGGTCAACGAGCCGCTGGCGGTCGTGCCGGCGATGGCGGCGGTGACGAAGAGCATCGGGTTCGGGGTGACGGTGGCGACGACGTACGAGCAGCCGTACCACCTGGCGCGGCGCTTGTCGACGGTGGACCATTTGACGAAGGGGCGGTATGCTTCCCTTTGCAGTCACTAAAGGATATTCTTAAGTTTCGCTAACGGGGTTGATTAGTGTCGGCTGGAATGTATGCACCTACCCCCGGTCCCCCGGTCCCCCGGTCCCAGGGAACAGTTCTAACAGAGAATAGGTGGTAACAGGGTACCTCGACTCAGCCGCCCGCAACTTAGGGCTCACCGAACAGCCCCAGGTAGCCCTCCCCTCCCTTTTCCTTCACTTTACCCCCAGAACCAACTCAAACCCAGCCCCAGACCAACCACTGACAAACCTCCAGCACGACACCCGCTACGAAACAGCCGAAGAATACCTGCGCGTGACCTACAAACTCTGGGAATCCTCCTGGCGCGACGACGCCGTGCAACTCTCCCGGTCCACGGGCATCTATACCTCCCCGGATCTCGTCCGCCCCATCAACCACACAGGCAAGACCTTCACCGTCCCCGGCGCGCACCTCTGCCAGCCCTCCCCGCAGCGCACGCCCGTCATCCTGCAAGCGGGGACCTCCAAAGCCGGGAAGCTCTTCGCCGCGCAGCATGCAGAAGCCATCTTCGTCGCAGGCCACTCGCCCTCCGTCGTCAAGAACAATATCGCTGAGATTAGGGAGCTCGCAGCTACACAATTCGGGCGGGACGGCACAAGCATCAAGTTCTTGGCCTTGTTGTGTCCCGTCCTCGCGGCGACGGAGGAGGAGGCGCAGGCGAAGTTCAGGGAGTATCAGAGCTACGGGGATGTGGAGGGGGCGTTGGCGTTGTTTGGCGGGTGGACGGGGATTGATTTGAGTACGTATGGCGAGGAGGAGGAGTTGCGCGGGGTGCAGAGTAACGCTATTCGGTATTTCCCTTCCTTTCCATCTTTTCTGTTATGAAATTGGGGAGTGGCACACTAATGATATGCTGGGTGTGCAGGTCTGCCGTGGAAGGCTGGTCGAAAGCCACCCCCGAAGTGGCCAAATGGACCAAGTCCACCGTCGGACGCCATATCACCGTCGGCGGGCTGGGGGCGACGCCCGTGGGCACGCCGACGCAGGTGGCCGACGAGATGGAGCGGTGGGTCGCGGAGGCGGATGTCGATGGGTTCAATTTGGTATGCTTGCACTTTCCCCAGCCTTCCCAACTGGCTATTGGATCCGGGTAGGGGTAAGACAAGGCTAAACAGCAACAGGCATACGCCATCAAACCCGGCTCATTCAAGGATATCATCGACCTGCTCTTGCCCGAGCTGCGGAGGAGAGGTCTCTTCTGGGAGGACTACGCCGTCCCGCGCGGCACGTATCGCGAGAATCTGTACGGCAAGAAGGGGCAAGCGGGGCCACCAGCGGATCACCCTGCTGCCAAGTATCGGTGGCATGCTGGGGTGACGGCGGAGGAGCATCAGATTCCGGAGTAGAATCATATACCGTGATATCTGTGGATAAGAGCTAGGTCGGGTTTGTAGGGGATGGATAGCACTATTGGCATATCACCGATTGTAACCCAAAAAAAAAAAAAGAAAAGAAAAGAATGTCGTCTCATTCCGTAGATCACTAGTGTCATGGATGCCATTATCCAAGGCATCAGATGCTCGGCTTTCCCACCCGGCTCTCTAACCAACCTCACCCCTAAGCTCAACCTCCACAACCTCATACGGCACCACCCACCCCTCCCCAACCAACCCATACTCCGCCACCCCCGGCAGCGCCCCCGTCACTGCCGCCCCCTTTCCCCCACTCCCAACCACCCCCCAATACGCCCGCAACACATTCCCCAACGGACTCGCCACGACCACCTCCACCGTATTCTGGCCGGCTCTGACCCACGCCCCGATATCCTTTCGGGCCGCGCTCAGATCCACCGGCCCGATCGCGTGCCCGTTCACCTTCACCCGGACCGCGTGCGAGATTCTGCCGAGGTCGAGGATCGCGCCGCCCCCGCCTTGCTGTGTATGCCTTGGGGAGAGAGTGAAGGTCGTGGCGTAGTAGCCTATTCCTGAGACGTTTTGGAGGGCGGGGTTGAGGCTGGACCATGGGCGTAGGGTGTCGAGGTGGGGGTAGGTGGTGTTTGTGCGGGTCGCGCCGGGGGTGATATTGTTGATGTCGGAGGGTGGGGTCCAGGATTCGAGGGTTAAGGTCCAGTTTTTTAGCTGGATGGGGGGCGTGAGTATGGGGTTTAGAGTGAGGGTTTTGTTGCTGCTTGCGGAGAGCGGGAGGGTGAGGGGGGAGGTGGAGTAGGTGCGTTTGAGGGTTAGGGTTGTTTGGTTGTGCTTGGTTGAGATTGTTGCTTCGGGGAAAGTGGTTGTATGCGTGTTTGCGATTGGGATGTGCGGTGGTGGTGTGTTGGGGTTGGGAGTGTGGTGGAAGCTGATGATGATGGTTTGGTTGCCTCCTAGGTCGATGGGGATGGTCGTGTGCGTGGAGCTTTGGTTGTAGACGGCTATTGTGGAGATGGTGCCCGTCCAGGCGTCATACAGGTGTGGTGTGCCGGTTGTTGCGAAGGTGATGGTCCCGCTTGCGGTGGTGCTGCTGTTGACGGGTTGGCCGGCGGCGTCGTTGAAGATGTAGATATAGGAGGCTTTGGTGGTGGGGTCGTAGCGCCAAGTGGTGTGAACTGTGCTGTTGGTTGCGATGGCTGTCCGGGGATAGAGATTGAGGAACTGGAGGGTCTGGGCGAGATTCTTGTCGGATACGAGGTGGACGTTGGGGAGGGAGGTGATGTTCTGGAGGAGATTTAGCGCCTGCGCCTGTCCCTTAGGATCGTATCCACTGAAGGTAGAAGGCAAGCCGCCTGGAAAGACAATCGGGAGACCTTCATGAGCGTATTCGACCAGTTTGACCACGCCATTCACAGTCAATGTCTCGTTCGCCCGCACAACCAGAGCCTTGAAAGCCTGTCGGTTCGGCGCTAAGATGCCGCTGGCGACATATGCCTCCGGGAGGTTGAAGTTATCGGGGCTTAGGTATTCATAAGTGTAACCTACGTTTGTTGGCAAAGACATTAAGATTCAGCTGTGGCAAATGCTTACCGGCATCCTCAAGATCACTCGCCGCATACAACGTCGCAATTGACTCATATCCAGTGGTATTCTTCGCCCAGAACGCAATATCCACCTTGGGGATCCCGATCTGCGCCACCCACTGATTCCTCGCTACATAGTCAACCCAGTCCGAGTAGAATTCGAATGCAGGTTGCCGGGGCCCATGCATCTCCGAGAACAGGTACGCAAAGGTTGTGAAACCCGGCCAGGTAGTGTTGCCATAATTTCCGCCCATGGGCCACCCATGCAGGATGAAGTTGTTGACCGACCCCGCCAAGGACCGCTTCAGACCCCAGAGAAGCTCGTCGATGGTCTCCTGGTACACGGATCCCATGATCGCCCCCGCTTCGCTGGAGACAATCCGCTTCCCGGCGAGGTGTGCCGGGCCCGCGAATTGTCGGTACCCATCCAGCAAGTTGTTAAACCCCAAGGTCTCGGTTTCTGGGCCGTTGACGGCGGGGATATTGGCGAGCATGTCCATGGGCATGTTGTAGACCACCTGGGAGGACCATTGGACACCCAGGCCGTTGGACCACTCAGTCAATGCTCTCAGGTATTCGGCGTTAAGTTCCGTCAACTGCTGCACGTTAGCCCTAGTAGCTTGATCGGCAGGAATGCACGCACGGTCTGCTCGTAATCTTGCACATGGCTTTTTCCTTCGTCTGCTTCATCCGTGACATAAGTCACATTCGAGGACTGCACGCCCGAGCCCACCACAATGGGAAGATACTTGACAATATTGTACCCGCGACTCGCCTGAAAGGCCTGCGGAAGGTGGGGCGTCCACCAGGTGGCGGCCTTGTATTCTTGGCTATCCTCCCACATGTAGTTGCCTACCTCGTGGAGGAGCTCACGCATCTCCTCATCCAGCAGTGACTGCTGCCAGAAGGAGGCCATGAGCTGAGCACCCTTGACTGAAAAATGGTCCACCACCCAGGAGCCGTTCTCCGACCACGTCTTGATGGGGGATTGCGGGACTGCCACGGGCACGTCGGCGGGACTCTGGACCTCCCGGTAATCCGCGTGCACAAGGTAGTACGCAAAGAGGTGACTCTCCGTTGTAGTAGACGACTGCGAAGATGAGATTTGAACGTGTCCGTTCCTGCTGACGGAGCCTGTGACGTCACGCAGGGAGTCCGTGGCTAGGACTTTTACGCTGCCACTGGATGACTTGACCGACCCCGTCACCGCGGCGACTAACTGCCCCGTACCCCAGCCTGGTAGTCCTCCCTCAAAGCCATCAGTAGTTGAGAAAGTGGCATTATGTGCAGCTAAATCCCACAGGAGACCTTCATCGTGATATGGCGTCGGGACCCCGGCCCCTTGGTTGGGGCCGACAGCGAAGTCGACCACGAGTCCGAGCTCTTTCGCTGTCCGCAGCACAGTGAGGGAGAGGTTCTCTGGAGCATATCACTAACTGTCACAATCAAAGCACATTATATGACTGAGAACTCACTCCAGGCCGGACTGCCGAACCCGTACTCCGTCCAGTCCGCCTGCAGCGGCGCCTGCAACCCGCCCCCGAAGTTGTCAGAATCACCATAGTTGTAGTATCCCAGCAGTTCGAGGCCTCCGGCACCGGACTTCGCGATATCTGTCAGGTCTTGTTCCACGGTGCTGGGGCTGACAGATGCATCGTTGACCCAGTACCGGAAGCGCGGCCGCACGAGGTTCGAGGGGTTTTGGAAGGTCCCGTAGTCGAGGTCAGCTAGGACCTGGTCGTTGGTGCCGTGGGCGATGGTCCCAGGTACAATGAGAGCTGAAGCTACTAGGAAAGGCAGGTACAGCATTGTTCTCAGAATCTCTGCTCAGCCTCTTGCTTGACCTGTGGACCGCATCGCGAAGCTCAGTTTTTATACTTCTCTGGCCTTGGGGAGGGTGCAAGCTCGGATATCCCGACGATGTTTTACCTTCGGGGTAGAAATCAACCGAGGCAGCTGTAGCCAAGAAAGAAGCGCATATCACTCATTCAGCAGTTTGCAGAAGCTACAGGTACCGGAGAGACAAGAACTAACCTCTTCGTCGTCAGTTCAAAGCGGCCCCGTGTCCGCGTCTGTCATGCAGTATCACCTACACAGCTGTTTTAGTATCACCCTCCCACTGTAGCCCTTGGAATTTGCCTCACTTGAGTGAGCTGAGATAGCCTGAAGAACGTGTTGAAGTGGAAGTCACTCACTCGCCAGGAACCAGGCAGGATCACCAGAGATTGACGGGGTTCGTGCGGGGCCCCGCATTCCTGCAGTGCCGAGGTGGGGATTCCGGGGTCGGCTGTTCGTCCTCCACATCGGCACCAGGGACCACTCAAGTACCAGCATCCAGAGAGAAGAATGCGGGGGATCTGACCAACCTAAGGTCTGGGAACTTGGATGACCAGGGCCTCGCGTCTTGTTGTCCCGAGGGGTGCCATGCACCCCAAAAGGTCTGTCTCTGGGGATGTCGTGCAGGATCGCATGAGGTCAATTTCCGGGGAATTCACACACTCTTTCATTGTGTACAGTCGTTATCTAGTATGGATAGCTGGAAACGGTAGGGAATGGCGCTGGGGTCATTTTTCTATCTGCACTATTCCCAGCACTCTTCCTCCACTAACCCGCCGTTTCTTCTGTCAGTAAACTGATATATCCCCATCTGCACCACAACTAAGCCGAACCCTACCGCCACCAACGCAATCATAATCACCAGCCCCTTCGGATAACTAGATCTTACATTAGCACACTTGCACTTTCTTTGTTTCATGGTAACTCACAAATCATCCGCCTCATCTCCCTGGAAGATCTGGCTACCAGCCATCAACCCCGCCGTCGCGGACATAACAACTAGAAAGCAACAATCAGTCTCCACCCTCACCACAAATAAACACACCGCTTCAAAACTTACACAGCCTATCAACATAATCAGCATATTACTCTATCCACATCAGGAAAAGAAAGAAAACTCACGCAACACTAATACTCCTCTCCCCCGCCGACTCACAATTCACCTGAATCCACGCATTATGCACCGGGTGATACCCGACCGCCAGCCCATTGACCATCGTCCACAGCCCGACATGTCCCCATCTCCCCACGTGCGGCTGCACGGTGCGCAGCACCACCAGCGCGACGAGGTAGCTGCCGATCGCGAGGAGGACGGTACATCCCCGCCGCCGGGATCTGTCACTCAGCCAGGCGAAGAAGAAGATGACTGGGAGGGTGATAAGGCTGCCGATGGCGGCCAGGGCGTTGGCGGTGATCCGGTCGAACCCTAGGGACATGATGATGCTGGGGGTGTAGGTGGTTAGCGGGCTCCAGGTGGCGAAGACGCAGCCCGTGGCGAGGAAGTGCGGCCATTTGGCGGTGTTGGTGATGGTTTTGTAGACGAGGGACCAGGGGATGCGGTCGTCTGCGGGGGAGCTGGGGGGGTTGGCTGGGAGTTTGTCGGTGGTAGGCTTGTCGAGACTACTGCTGCTGTCGCTGTCGCTGTTGCTGTTGCTGGTTGTGGGTGAGTTGGATTGGGGGGAGTGAGGTGGGCGGTCCGGGAGGCCCGTGAAGAGGAGGAGGGCCATGATGATGGACCAGAGTCCTTCGACTGCGTTGTTTTAGCGGTGATGTACTTCATACACCTGAGGTTGAAGGTGAGGATAGGCCTACTGGCTACTCACCCAAGAATATCCACTTCCATCCCGCTATCCCGCCCCGTCCATCTAGCTTCAGCAACGCGGCCCCCAGAAGCGGCGCAATCGCTGCGCCCCCGAACATCCCGAAGAAGAAGATTGCAATGCGCTTCGTCAGTTGTTCCTTCGTGTACCAGGTTGAGAGTGTGTACATCGCGGCCGGGATGTACCCGGCCTCCGCGAGGCCGAGCACAGCCCGCGTGATGAGGAACCCTGTCCGATTACGGATGAAGATCTGGAGGGCGGCGAGGACGCCAAAGATGAAGACTTGGGCACCGATCCAGCGACGGGGGCCGACCTGATGGTGTTAAGACATAGCTTATGGGATCGGAGATGGGGCACAGCTCACCCGTTGTAGAGCCATGTTGGAAGGAATCTCTAACAGAATGACGCCCAGGAACAAAAGCTGGTTGCCCAGGTTGATGGTATTCTGATCGACGGATATGGCCGAGGCGAAGCCTCCCGTCAACGCGCTGGCGATGTTGGTCCGGTCGATTTGGTAGGTTGCGAAGCCGGTGGCTAGAAGGGGCAGGACGAGGTAGTCCGCTCTGCTGGTGGTTAGTTCCGCTTGTCAGGGTGTTTGCCTGCGTACTTCTTTTTAATGTGCATATCATGGCGAACATGGCCGGCGACCTCCGGGTCACTGTGCATAATCTGGCTGTTTTCTGGACTAGTGATGAAAAACCCAAAAAAGAATACATGGTGAATGTCGTGTGGAATATTTTGGCTCATCTCTTATCTACGTGTGTTGTCCAAGGACCTTGGGGACAACCCTTGGGGTGATAAGATAAAGTTATCTGTGATTGAGGACCTTATGTATAGCACAGTACAGCGCACCATAGGACAACTAATGAAACATTTTCCACATTGTACTGCTTGACCGTATCTCTGCGAGTTATCTTTCATCTACCTATTTCCCCCTCCCACCTACAGCTTTTACTACAACCCCCGTCCAAATCCTCAACCACCTGCCTCTCCCTCCTCCACATCACCAAAACCACCCAGCTAAGCCCTCCTCACCACAAAAACCATCTTAAACGAACTCTGCCGATTATACCGATTCAGCTTGACTTCCGCCCACTCCTCGGCCCGCACGTCGACCTCCCACTTCGTTCCCGTCTCCGCCATCACCTGCGCCCACATCCGTCGCCATGACTCCAGATCATGCCGATAGTAGGTAGCCCCAAGCTCGCTGTCCTCGCGCTCACCGGCCACAAAGTCTCCGACGTGCCGGCCGACGAGCAGCGACCCCTTTTGCGGCCGCAGCAGCGTGATAACCTGCTTGGCTAGCGCCACCTGCCTGTCCCAGTCGAATAGATGGAAGAAAGAGGCTGCGTTGATGATGTCGACCTTTCCTGTCAGACGCTGGAGCAATGCGCAGGAGGGGTCGAAGATGTCGCTGGGGATGAATTCGGTGGCTAGCTTGGTGCGGTCGGCGAAGAGGTCGTAGCCCAGGGTGATGAATTCGGGGTGCAGGTCGCTTCCGTATAGGGCAGAGGCTGGGGCGCCTTGGCGGATCTGGGGGGGTTAGTCCTGGGGCTTGGGTGAAGTTGAGGGGGGAGGGACCAGGTAGCGGATGTCTTGACCCATTGCGCAGCCTAGGTCTAGGTATGTCTCGTTCGAGGACTTCAGGCGCGAGAGGATCTCCGGGTAAGCTGGGGAGGCGCAGATGGTGATGTCGAGGAAGCGGAAGGATCCGATGCAGGGGTAGGGGAACTGGGTGGTTGGTTAGTGGAGTGCCAGCAATGATAACCTGAAGAGGAGGGTGGCTTACCACGGCGAAGGCGCGATCGCGCTGCATACCTCTATGTTAGTTCCTCAATACACTTGAGTGTTAGGCTCTCACTCACCACCTCCTTGACATGGTCAATGATCCTCTCCTCGGGGATCTTGCTGTACTCGGCCAGCAAAGTCCGGGCGGGCTCCTTGACCTGCGCGAGGTCGGGCTGGTACCAGCTGTACTGTTCAGCGGGTTTGTCTTTCTGTACGTTTGATTCAGCCATGGTGATCGTGTGCTTGGCGCCAAGGGGTCTGTCTTGTTTCAGATGATGTTTGGCAAGGGAGGTGAAGAAGTTTGGAGGGATAAGTGGAGTGGGCTGTGGGCGGAGGCTGACCCCACATCTTAACCCCGAGGCTTATCTGATCCCTCCCAATTCGGAAATCAGGGCCGGCGCAGTGCCGCCCCGGGTATAGATCTGGGCCAGCAAACACCGAGAGCCGCCAAGGCCGGCGACTAAGGCTCGCCCACACATTCTCGAGGACTACCACCACCGGACCTCAATCACCGAACCCGTGTTGCGCCAGTGGAACGACTCTCTTGCATGTCCAACTGTGAGGTTTGGCGGTATAAGGTAAGGTGTGTCTGAGCTTCGATCAAGCTTTGCAACACCAGAGTTGTATGCGTGTTGGTTGTACTAAGAAAGTCTGCAAACTCCGAATGCGCCGCGATGATGTCATAACCTCATTCGCCGCAAATACCCTGTATCACTACCTGGAGAAAAGCAGGATATCATTCCGCCTTTGAATCTCATTCAACATTTCTCGACTAGATCCGACACATGTTCAACAGCGCCCAAATGCAGCCAGTATACGACGCCGTCGTCGTAGGCGCCGGCCCCGGGGGCATGGCCACCGTAGCAGCCCTGCTAGACGCGGGAGCTCAAAAGGTCCTCTGGGTTGATCCCGCCTGGCAGGGAGGACGACTGAACAGCCTGTACCGGGAGATATCATCGTAAATTTTCCCAATAATACTGATAAAGAATTGGAATGTTCACTATGCTAACGAAAACAAAAATAAAATCCAGAAACACGACCGTCGCAATCTACCTGAAAGCGATCAACTCCTCCACAACCCTGCGCTCCATCATCGACTCCACCCCGTCCCCCAACGCAGTCACCAAACTCGAAGCCATGGACCACAACTCCACCTGCCAGCTCAGCGTCGCCGGCGACATGATCCACATGCTAATCGAGGGGTTGCTCGCTCGTCCAGAGGTCGAAAAACTGACAGCTCTAGTCGAGGAAGCGCATCTAGACGTAGGGTCCCAATCCCCATCTCTTCCCCTTCACCCGCACACATTCCCAGATTAAAAACTCCAGAGTCACGCTAACTCCAACCGCAGAAGAGTATCTGGACCCTAACCACCACACCCGTCTCCCCAACCCCCATCAAATCCCACCGCACGATCCTCAGCACCGGCTCCCACCCGCGCACCCCAACCACCCACCAAAACTACAACCCGAACCTCCACCAACTCGACCTAGACACCTGTATGCGCCGCTCCCTCCTCCCCGATCTCCTCCCACGCAACCGACCCTCCACCATCGCCGTAATCGGCAACTCCCACTCCGGCATCCTCGTCGTGCGCAACCTCTACGAACTCGCGCAGGCCGGTGACCGCAGCGTCAAAATCATCAACTTCCACCGCCGGCCCATCAAGTACGCCATCTACACGGACGAGGGGATTATCTTCGATAATACGGGCCTGAAGGGCGCGACGGCTGAGTGGGCACGCGAGGTTCTGGAGAACTCCCCTGATTCGGAGATTGTGCAGTTTGTGGATGATGGGGAGGATGAGAATGCAGCGTTTGAGGAGTGGTTGCCGCGTTGTACGCATGTCGTTTGGGCGGTGGGGTATGAGCAGAACCGAATCCCGAGGGTGTTTGTGGAGGGAAGGAGGGTGGCTGGGACGGTGCAGTTTGATATGCGGTCGTCGGGGTTTAGGGTCGACGGGCACGACGGGCTCGACGGAGCAGTGGTGAAAGGGTTGTATGGCGTGGGGATTGCGTTTCCGGAGGAGGTCGAGGATCCGGAGGGTCATGTGGAGGCTGCGGTGGGCGTGGCCAAGTTTATTGCGTTTACGCAGAGGGTGAAGGAGCGGTGGATGGGGAGGGGTTGATTGGTTGGAGGGAGTGAGGGTAAGGGCTTTGGTGTCGGAGGATTTATTCGCGGGCAAATGTAATGCCATTGCAATCAATAGATGGGTACCTAGCTAAGTAGAAAACATTCCGGCGGAGCATTGCTATGGATCTGAATTCAGCCAGGGGTCGTCCAGCAGTTCCTGGGCTGTCTTCCTCTTTTCAGGCGTCCACTGCAGCATCGACCGTATAAACTCGAGAAACAGCTGCTGATTCTCTCCTGTAAGGTTCTCCTCTACCTCATGCAGTGAAGTTGCAGGGATAGTAACCCCGCCCGCACCCAGCCATTTACCTATCATATACTCGTCAGCACGACCCCCACCAAGCAAGGAAAACTCACCATCACCTGCAAAAACATGGCGAGTCTCCTGGCTTCGTCGCACGAAAGATAAAGGCGGCAGCCCAAGATACGCCACCATCTCAGCCACATGATGCGAGGGGAGTAATCTCCGTCTTCGTCGAGCGCGTTGAACAAATGTCTGTCTTCGAAAATATCCCACCCCTGGAACCAAGTCAAACTCCTCATGTGCTTCTCACGAGTGCGCTCCGCCTACCATAACACCAAGACTCCAAATATCAACACCTGAGCCCCAATCCATATCGAACAGTACCTCAGGCGCTCGAAAACTCTCCGGCTGAATTATGCCCCTGTGAGACTGGCCAATCTGGGCCTGTCCCAGGTCGCAAAGAACCGGCTGCCCCCATAGCATGTCCTTGGGGAGGCGGAGGTTCCGGGAGGTGTAGATTGTCCGGGATTCATCTATTACTTTCCGAGGACTGTGGTTTTGTTGCTCGGCCTTTTGGAAATCCGTGAGCATCGATTCATCATCGATACTGAGCATGATATTTGACGTTTTGATGTCTGTGGTGGCTCAGATCATCTGGAAAGTGTTGGGATAGATGGCGTGAAACGCACCAGTATGGACTACCCCGGCCTCTCGGTGGAGAAAGTCTAGACCCTGCAGGATGCAAAACAGGGTTTGTTTGAGCAGTGGCTCACTGAGCCTTCGAGCTCTCGAGAGCATCCGCAGTTCGTTCAGCGACAGATGCATGGGCGGATGCACCAAGCATTGGTGGGTACCGTCTGGGCCAGGAATACTGAAAGTATCATACAAGCCACGAACGTAGGCACTTCCGATGTGGGAAGAATTCAGCCTGCTCAAATGCTCATAAATTCCGAGCTCTCCAGACAGGGCGCGCTGAGAGAGGTTGTTGGTCAGTACTTTGATAGCTACGTATTTGTTTTCACTGTGTCGAGCTAGGTCAATACTGGTTTTTGCTCAACTGTACCCTTTATCGTTTTGTTAAGCGACGAACCTTTTGTCCCTACATAGCCAGACCGTGGAGTAAGAGCCGTAGCCTAGCTTTCCTACCACTTGATATCTTGTGTTTAGAGTCTCGCCGATGTGTACAGGATAGAATTGTTGGGGCTTGTAGAACGGAAGCCTCTCTTCCTCCCAGAGAGATCTTCTGGATTGGATGTGTGGTTGTGAACATAGTGCACGTTTCCCGTGCAAGACTGCTGCTCGTGAGATGATCGGGGTAAACTTGGTAAGCAGCATGCCATTCTGTATGGTCGATAGGTACCTTGGAGCCATGGATTGGGTTGGTACCGCTGCCTGGGTGTAAGCTTGACGGAGAGAGTGTGATTGAGCGAATGCAAGGGGGCGGAGGCAGAAACCGAGGCGGTGCTTGGCGGCTGCTATAAAGGAATTCCGGGGCACTGTTTTCTGCTGATGGAGGTAGTTACAAAAGCCGTGATTTTTGTCTGCAGGATATTGTTCCTCAACTTGCTTTGAGTCAACGCCGCGCTGCAAAGAAGTGCCTTGTACAAATTGAGCATGTAGTAAGGAGTTGTCAATCCTGATTTACCAGTACACTGGTGAGGGATATATCCCGGGTGGTCGCTTGCGGATGGCATCCATTTAAGCATGTCTTTTCTCTCCCTCTCGTGAAGATCAAGTGGAGCTCTTATTAGCTGGCTTAATCTCTCATCTTTCAATCTCGTATAGCCTTGTGTGTGCGAGCATCACCTGGACCAGGTGAATGATCAAGTGTTTACCTAAGTACCTACAGTTATATAACCTCATACCAAACCCTCACCATGATAGAAACACCTGAATAGGTGCAGCTAGTCCGGATCAGGATTAGCCTTTCTGATACCCGGGAGATAAACAAACCGAGCAAACAGCACCGCTGCCACAAAGTTGTGCTGCATTATTCCGAGCTCATCCAATGGTTGGCAGGGTCCAACTCTCGCTCACCTAAGCAATGCATCCGCATAGCATGTTCCCCACCGATCGCATCGATGGCATCTCAATTCCTACCCAATTGAAGCTAGAGCAATATCAACAAAAACATCCATAAATATTGCAGCGCCGCTGTCAGCGAATCAAACCAGGGCAGCCAAAATGACGCCATCCCCTTCACGCGTCGCCAGCATCATGCTCTCCTGGCACTCGCTCGAGCTCGTGTCATGTTCAACCCTCCAAACGCTGTGGGCAGGGTACGGCCACATCTGCGCTATCTCCGCCCGCGCCACCACCTCCGAGGCCGCCGCCCATCTCGCCCAGCTCTGCGGGGTGGACTCAAAAGGCGCCGGGGGCACCTACCCGCTTATCCTGAAGCTCATCTCCCCGCCGAGCAAGAAGGCCCGCACCGAGGATGAGGGCCACCTGCGCAAGATGCTGAGCTACGAGGTCGAACAGTGCTTCTACAGCGAGGTGGTGCCGCGGCTGGGCGACGAGATCGGCGTGGCCAAGTGTCTGGCCTCGACCCGCGATATGGCCGGTAGGCCTGGCGAGGATGAGCTCCGGGGCCTCATGGCCACCGTCATGGTGGATCTGCGGCCCGCGTACCCGGTGGCCGGGGGCAAGAGGAGCTCTCTGAGCAGTACGCAGGTGCGCGCGGCGTTGGACTGGCTGGCTGGGTTTCACGGTCGCTCGCGGGCGTTGTTGCCGGGTAGCAGGGATGAATTGGTTCTGCCGCCGCTTGAGGAAGCTAAAAGGAGGCAGAGCAGGAATGAAAAAGGTGGCAGGGGATTGTGGCTGAATGGTGGGTATACGTACCTTGCTACCCGGCGGAAAGAGTATGCTTCGCTTGTCGATGATACGGACTCAGAGTGGTCCGAGGCGCTGTGCAGCGCACCCGAAGGCTTCTCCTTGTCTGTGGCTGAGATGGTGGCGTTGGTGTTGACGCCTTCTGGGAGGCCGATCGAGTCCTATATCCATGGGGACGTTAAGTCGGAGAACCTGTTCACGTCGGCCAGTGGAGAGTGGGTCGCGTTCTTTGACTTCCAGTACGTCGGCCTGGGTCTCGGGGTGTGTGATCTCGCCAAGCTGTTTACGTGCTCGGTCCCTCTCGAGATGCTGGTCGAGGACGAGAACTATTTGCCCGAGCAGTTGCCGATGCAGCATGGAGAGAGAAGCCTGCTGGAGGCGTATCGCGCGGCGCTCCTCCAGGAACAGGAGTCGGACGTGTATCCATGGGAGACATTTCGACGACACTGGGAGACGGCACTTGTGGACTGGTGCAGGTTTCAAGCCTCGTGGGGGTTCTGGGGAAATACAGAGTGGCTGGAGGCCCGCGTAAGATCGATCCTCGGCGATCAGGGATGGAGGGACTGGCTGTATCAGGAAGTCAGTTTTAGAAGTGGTTCGTGATGAAGGGGGTGGAGCAGAGCAGGGCTCAGCTCAATGCGTTTTACTGTTTAATCTTAGATCCCCGAGTCAAACTAGAGATTCGAAGTTTTAGTCCAGACCAGCATTTTGTGGGCTGTCAGCCAGTCGTCGATAGAGGTTGGTTGGCTGGACTACTGCTAAGATGTGCGGATCATATAGCCAGCATACATTATCAAAGAAAGCTTTCACCATGTCGAACATAAATGCTCGACGGTTTCAGTGCGACTGGGCACCGAAGAAAAACTCTTCCGGGTACCATTACCTGCAGTTGTATTTCCTGTGGTTTCCTGGCCGAGTTAAGATGGCACAAGAGGCCATGTGATAAAGTTACACGAGCAACCAGATAAGAAGACGCCCGTGGGTCCTTGAGACAAGGATGTTCGTCTCCGAGGTGATTTAAACATGCAAATCAATTTTCCGACTGGGTAAGCCCGATGCCAGAGTGCCAAGCCATTCTGCTTGAGACCGAAGCACCAGGATAGCCTGTCCGGGAAAAGGTGTATTGTGCGTACTCCAAAGGAATTAGTAGGCTAATCCTAGGATCGACACGCTACTTCCCAAATTATGGTCAGCTGATTGCATCTTCAGGTGAAACAATTTTCAGGCTGCCTTGGGCAAGCCGGCCCATATCCAGAGCTAATGTTGTGTCTGCCAGGGTGTGCAGTCTCGGCCATCGTCAAAACCCTCTTGCAGCCTTGTTAGATGGGGCTTGACTGACGTCGAATCACACCTACTGACGGTTGCCTCAATTGGGAGCTTGGTCGGCGACCAAGAAAGCAGCATGCTCAGCGCACATTTCTACAGTCCCCGATAACCATGCTCTGGATCATATAGTCCATCATGTAGCCTAACCAGCTCATGCATCTCGAGCCCATGACAATAAGCAATATCTGTCTTCATCAAAAGCAATACCGTAGCAAACAGTTTGTGTTTAGGCAGGAAATAGTGACAATGTGAGGGACTGTCTTGTCTGTTGTCTTGGTGAGCATAGCTCTTGCTGAGGAGATAGATCACCATATTTGAAGATACATAATCGCCGCTGCGTCCTTCTGAGCATTGAGGTAGTGTGATATGCCCTTTTTAATTCATCAGTGCTAGCCCTGATTCTCGAGACCACGTTTCGTGTGGCTTATCATGGTGCCTTGGTTACCCTTTTTCCTTCGTGGTGCAACAGCCATCAGTGCAGCTTGTATTACCAGTGAAGAAAATAGTAAGGATGAATCATGCTCCCTGCTCTATTCCATTGTTGTGTCCAGTTATTTCCAACTGGCAAGGGAGCTGACATCAATTCTACCCAAGGCCTATATCCTTATGGTACACTACCTACCAACTATCTTCCCCCTTTCATCGAGGACGAGGTACGATCGAGTCTGACACCAGTGTCCCTGGCATCAACAACTCACTGAATCAACTCAGGGGGGTACTCAATACCCACCATGGCGAGACGTCTCCCCTTTAGGACCTCCCCCCAGTACCGGGGTAACGCGTCATTATAACTTCACCGCCATGCGCGATATAACTACACCAGATGGGTACATGAAAAGCGCCATGTTGATCAACGGCCAATTCCCCGGGCCAATGATTGAGGCGAACTGGGGTGATACCATCTCCGTGACAGTGAATAATATGATCACGACCGGAACAGAGGAAGGCCTGGCCATGCATTGGCACGGGATCACACAGAAAGGAACTCCCTGGGAAGACGGAGTACCTGGTGTGACGCAATGCCCCATCGTGCCACGATCCAGCTTTACCTACACCTTCCAGGCTGATCAATATGGGACTGGCTGGTATCATTCCCACTATAGTGCTCAATTGACCGATGGCGTCTATGGCCCGGTTATTGTTCACGGTCCCAACCACGTCAACTACGACTACGACCTTGGGCCCGTCATGATCTCAGAATATCACCATCACGACTACTGGTCAAATCTGGTGGAAATCTTCTCCAGGCCACCCGTGATCCCGAATGTGGACAACAACCTGATTAATGGCCGCGGCATCTACAACTGCAGCGGAACCGACTGCAGCCCCGGCGCCAGCCTCTCTCGCTTCAGCTTCAGAAGCGGCAAAGTCCACCGACTCAGGTTATTAAACACCGGATCCAACGCTAACCAGAAGATCAGCATAGACGGCCATACAATGACCGTAATCGCGAACGACTTTATCCCCGTCAAGCCCTACAACACGGACGTTGTCACCTTAGGCGCCGGACAGCGCACTGACATCCTCGTCAAGGCCACCGGCAGCCCCCGCGACGCCTACTGGATGCGATCATCCATCGACATGGACTGCCTCAACTCGACCGCAACATACCCAACCGTAACCGCAGCGATCTACTATGAAGACGCAGACCCATCCACCTGGCCCAACACCACCAGCACCGCCGTCTGGCAGAGCAACAACTGCGCCGGGGACCCCCTCAACCAGACCGTCCCATACTATCCGCTCACCCCGCCAGGCACCCCCTCCACCATCGAAACCATCGAGATCAACCTCGCCCAAAACGCAACAGGCCACTACCTCTTCTACATGAATAACGCGACCTTCCGCGCCAACTACAACGCCCCACTCCTCCTCCTCGGCCGGACGGGCAACCTCTCTGACCCTTACTACGCCAACGCCAACGCCTACAACTCCGGCACCAACTCCAGCGTGCGCCTAGTCTTCAACAACATCTATCCAATGCACCACCCGCTGCACTTACACGGGCATAATTTCTGGGTCCTGGCCGAGGGTCGCGGAACGTGGGACGGTGTCGTGGTGAATCCTGCGAATCCGCAGCGGCGAGACACGCAGATGATGCAGGCAGGCACCCCGGAGAATCCCGCGTATGCCGTGCTGGAATGGGAGCTGGATAACCCGGGTGTGTGGCCGCTGCATTGTCACATGTCGTATCATGTCAGCATGGGGCTGTCGTTGAATATTATTGTATGTTTGTCCTTTTCCATGCGAGTGCTGATGGCCTTTCTGGCGCGGTGATGATAGCTACTGACTGCGTGACTGTCTTTAGGAACAACCGGAGAAGATCCAGCAGCTTAAGATCCCCGCCTCCCTGGCGAAGACGTGTCATGAGTGGGCGGTCTTCAGTGGTCAGGAGTTTGTGAATGAGATCGATTCCGGGGTTTGAGGTTGTGTCGTATGTTATGCAGGGGTTCTTGGATGCACGGAGAAATGTTTGTTGTTTTAAGCAGGGCTTTCAGCTCTGCAGGACAGTGATAGATTTTCAGACGGCATATTATGTCGAACAAATTGTTAGTTCTTGGCCCGCACCTCAAATTGTGATAACAATTCATCATCGGTTATTGGACGCTTGCAGGCACACTGAGTAAAGCTTCATTGGGATAATAGGTAAGCTCATTCCAATAAGAGCACTCACCTGATGATCATCTGTACGGAGAATCTGGAATAACTTCCTAGTTGCTAGAATCCTGCTGGGGTCATAAACCAGCCCAGGCCGAAACGAAAGTTCCAGGTACCCCCGGTGTCCCCGAGGAAACAACAAACATTTTTCACTCCCTATTGGTGGATACTTGAAACTAAAAGTAACGCCGAACAATCGGAGAATATGCCGAAGTCGACTTGAATGTAGGTTTTGCCTCCCGATTCCTTGTTCTTGAGCCAGCGTGTTCCCATCCAACAACGGTGCTGAAAATGGCAAGCGCTTCCGGAGGGGCAGAGTGGAGGGGTCTATACCTACCGCGCAGTTGACCCCATCTAGGAATGTGATACCGAAAGCCTCCGCCGCTGAGTACCCAGATTACAACATAAATTAGATGTAATAGGGCATGATGGATTGCTCTTCTGCATCTAAGAAGGTATCGCGATCCAACACCGCTGCAACTATCAAATTCCACAGTAACTGCCTTCTAGATTCTTGCTTCCCGTCGTGGACTCCGGCGGAACTCTCGCTATGGCCGCAACTAGCTCAGTAACAAAACTCTTCGATGTGGCCGAAATCGTCGCAGTAGTGACCGGAGGTGGAAGTGGTATGCGAGAAAACCTATAAAAATGGAAATCGCTATTCATTGCAAGCTCACGGATCGTTTGAATAGGGCTCGGCCTCTATATGACGCGGGCACTGGCCACCAACGGAGCAAAGAAAGTCTATATTCTTGGACGGAGGAGACATATCCTGGACCAAGCGGTGGCTGAAATAGTCCGTCTTGCGAATCCCAGACACTAAACAAGCGTCTTTCCTAACTGCTATCAGGGCCAGACAGCATCAGCCCAATACAATGCGATGTCACGGACCCAGAGACCCTAAAATCTGCGGTCGCATTAATCGAGAAAGACATCGGCTATATCAACTCCTTGTTGCCAACTCCGGCATTGCCGGGCCCTCGGGGAGCGTACCTTCTGGGTCGAGCATCCCGCAGGTGCAAGAGGCCTTGCTCCAAATCTCCATGCAGGAATTCACGAATACCTTCCACGTGAACTGCACGGCCGTGTTCTACACTGCCATTGCGTTCCTCGGACTGCTCGATGCAGGGAACAAGACCCGGAACAACTACTCCCGCAAGGGCTGTCGGAGTCAGGTGATCGCGACCAGCAGTATCGGGAGCTTCAATCGACGCATCACGGCGGGGTTCGCGTACGGAGCCAGCAAGGCCGCGACCACGATGCTTTTGAAGGTCCTGGCGACGTACCTGGTGCCGTATCGGATCCGAGCGAATGTGCTATGTCCTGGATGTAAGCTAGAGTCGAGGATGAGAATCATAAGTCGAGGGCAATATGCTGACGATAGGGGCTAGTGTTTCCAACCGATTTGACGACGGACCTGATTCATGGCCAGAGCCCCACGGAGGAAGGGGCGTTTTCGCTGGATCAAATCCCGGCTGAGCGCGCTGGTACCCCCGAGGATATCATGGGCCCGCTGTTGTATTTGGCTTCGCGCGCTGGCGCGTACTGTAATGGCAATTGTATGCTTACTGATGGTGGTCGGTTGAGTGTTATGCCTGCTACTTATTAGCACGGCGTTATGGATTAGGCCTAGGGAGAAAAGAGTTTGATCTGCCATTCAAGGGTAAAATCGATTCATGATTCTAGCTTTTTAAGTCCCTGTGTCCGTCTAATTCGTGCCTATCGAGGTTAGAGCCTGGGCATGAAAGGGGGCTAGGCATGAAAGTTCATTGAGCGTAGGTAGTTGGACAAAATATCGAGAGGCTGTAGGTAAAAGGAGCGCACATTCACACTTCTTCCTGAAATACCTGCCATTGTCAATTGCTCACTGTGGCTTCTTAGCCGTCAACCTCCTTGTAACTCACTATATTGATGTCCATTCTGCTTAACCCAACGCCTTCCACCGTCGCAGGGTATACAAGCATAGTCTCGATGTAACGATATTGGGACCACGTGACTCGCCATATAACGAAATTGAGCCGAGCATGGCCTCCGATATAACAATGCTCGGCACGCAGACCGTTCCTTGCTACAGAGAAAATTATTCTTGAGCCACATCGCCTGGATTCTAATATCAGACTCTTCCCACCATCAAGTCCGCAATTGCGCCAGCCCAGACCTCGACATCGATACCAACGCCATGAATAAAACACCACATCCCATCAGAGCCAGCATACAAAGCACACTCGGAGCCATAGGAGCACAGAAAAAGCGTCACTTGTCACTTTCGAGGAGATTCTGTAATGTGTGCGCAGACTACAGCTCTTCATCGAACAGCAGGACGACAACGATGATGCGGCTCTTGCTTGCGAGGATGGAGAAGGAGAATAAAAAAGTGAAAGGCGAGGTAGGATGGTATTCCTACAATGAAATTCTCTTTCATTCGTTTCTATAGTTAGCTATGAGCAAGTATACCTAGTAGTTCATGGCTTAGAGTTGTTTTATGCCGATGGAGGTTCGAAGTGTCTGAGTTGTCGTCTAGAAATAGTGATTCTCTCCACCCGAACAATATTATGGACGCAAATCTCGTTTGAAAGAGTTAAACTTGTTTTGATATGAGAGACAAGTGGCCGGAAGACAAGCTAGCCGCCGTTATGCGTGGCTGACGCAAGGGTCCAGGACTGGCAATTTGAGAAGGACATTGGAAGGGTAAACAATATAGTTACAGAGCCGTGTACCAAAAGGTATTAGACTACGCTAATTGTAACAGTGTATGCCAGGTGTAATGATCACCAATGTGATAATCTTTACAACCTAAAACAGTAAATCCTGAGACTGGATTGAGGAGGTGCTACTTAAAACGATATAGTCTGTAAGTCCTAATATAGTAACTACTACCAGATCAGATCTGATGAAAAGACTAGGAGAATTACAGCAGTCTAACAACTTTTGGTACACGGATCCGTACAGTATTAGGGGTTCAAGGGGGGAGAAGAAAAAATGAGGTATACATTTAGGGATCTGTGGTCAACATGTGATCATGCTGGGAGTTGGACGATATCTCTCCGTAGCTGAGGGGAGCCCAACATACGTCTTGATTGGAACTGTTCCCAGGGGAATTGGGCGGTGGTATGGCTCGATGTTCCGCCCAATGGGCAGAACCGAGCTGTCAGAATGTTAACCATGTTAAGGGGTAAAGAGCAACCGGGCCGAGAGTCCCCGGTGCCGCTAAGCACCAGAACAGTTAGCGTGGTGTGATTGTTGATGTTTTCAATAATTGGGCCCACGTGATAAATATCCGATACCCTTATCGGTCATCCCACATTGAACTGATCACACACACGGAACGAATTAGGAGTATTTCCACTCAAAACAATCCAGCTTAGCTTAGCTTTGGGTTAGGTTACTGTTAGGTTCCTTAGGTACCAGCCAAGCCTAAGCTAGTGGCCAGTTCTGACTGACTGACCGCTCAACCTCCGTGCCTCAACCTTTTCTCCTCATTTCTCTCCTCTCCGGATCTCCTTCCACTGTTTTCCCCCAGTCCCACTTCCTCCCTAATCTCCCTTCCCCCCCCCCCCAAATACCCTCACCATCAACTCATCATGCGTGAAATCGTAAGTCGACCCGTTCAGCCTAAGCTTATCTATCTCTTGAAACAAGAAATGCTAACGGTTGCCTCCCCCACATTTTAGGTTCACCTCCAAACCGGCCAGTGTGTATGTTTACCCATCCTGGGACTGCCAGTCGTCTACCTAGTACTCACAAACACCCCGTCTACAGGGTAACCAAATTGGTTCTGCCTTCTGGTAAGCTCCAGCCTTGACTACCTCTCATCACCCCGATCACCATGGCTAACACCCACCAGGCAGACCATCTCCGGCGAACATGGCCTCGACGGCGACGGCGTGTCAGTGATCCCGCGGACACTCGAGACACTCGACTCCTTCCCCTTCTGACATCCATCCTAGATACAATGGCAGCTCCGACCTTCAGCTGGAACGCATGAACGTCTACTTCAACGAAGCCGGCAACAACAAGTACGTGCCCCGCGCGGTGCTGGTTGATCTGGAGCCCGGTACGATGGACGCTCTGCGCTCCGGTCCCATGGGCGGCCTCTTCCGTCCCGACAACTACGTGTTCGGCCAGTCCGGTGCCGGCAACAACTGGGCCAAGGGTCACTACACTGAGGGTGCTGAGCTGGTCGACCAGGTGGTGGACGTGGTGCGCCGTGAGGCCGAGAACTGCGACTGCCTGCAAGGTTTCCAGATCACCCACTCCCTGGGTGGTGGTACGGGTTCCGGTATGGGTACCCTCCTGATCTCCAAGATCCGCGAGGAGTTCCCCGACCGCATGATGGCCACCTTCTCGGTGATGCCCTCCCCCAAGGTGTCCGACACCGTGGTCGAGCCCTACAACGCGACCCTGTCGGTGCACCAGCTGGTCGAGCACGCCGACGAGACCTTCTGTCTGGACAACGACGCCCTGTACGACATCTGCCAGCGCACCCTGAAGCTGTCCTCCCCCTCGTACGGCGACCTCAACCACCTCGTGTCCGCCGTCATGTCCGGTATCACCGTCAGCCTGCGCTTCCCCGGCCAGCTGAACTCGGATCTCCGCAAGTTGGCCGTCAACATGATCCCCTTCCCGCGTCTGCACTTCTTCATGGTCGGCTTCGCGCCCCTGACCAGCCGCGGCGCCCACTCCTTCCGCGCCGTGACCGTGCCCGAGCTCACCCAGCAGATGTTCGATCCCCGCAACATGATGACCAACGCGAACTTCCAGAACGGTCGCTTCCTGACCTGTTCGACTTTGTTGTATGTCCTGCCCCCTACCCCCCCTAAACCCCCCACCCTCGACCAACCACCGATGCTAACCCCCCTCTCCCCAACCAGCCGCGGTAAGGTCTCCATGAAGGAAGTGGAGGACCAGGTCCGCAACGTGCAGAACAAGAACTCGACCTACTTCGTGGAGTGGATCCCCAACAACGTGCAGACGGCGCTGTGCTCCGTGCCTCCCAAGAACCTGAAGATGGCGGCCACTTTCGTCGGAAACTCGACCTCCGTGCAGGAGCTGTTCCACCGTGTTGCTACCCAGTTCACTGCCATGTTCCGCCGCAAGGCCTTCTTGCACTGGTACACTGGCGAGGGCATGGACGAGATGGAGTTCACTGAAGCCGAGAGCAACATGAACGACCTGATGTCCGAGTACCAGCAGTACCAGGATGCGTCCATCTCCGATGGCGAGGGCGTCGAGCACTACGAGGGTGAGGGTGAGGAGATCTACGAGGAGGAGGTTTAAATCTCTGCCCAAGGAATAAGTCTGTAGGGGATAGGGTGGGTTGGTGTGTTCAGTGGGATGAAAAACTGTTCTCGTCTTATATGTGTGCTTAGGATCGATCTGTTGAAGGCCGGTCTTGGCATTTATTTACGGACATAGTAATTTTATTTGGTTGGCGGGACTTGAGTTGGTTCTTTTCTTGGTGTGTGTAGGGTGGCATTCTGCCAGGTGGCGATTTGAAGAGTGATGGCTTGATGGGGACATCTACTTGGGGTGTTGACGTGATGCAGCAAGTGCAGCAGGGATAAGAGCCCACCCAACTAACATAGCTCCGTGGGAGACACACCTCCCGAATCCCCGCATGCAAATGCAGTATAACCCTCATTCATCCAACCTCCCAATTCACCATCCGATCCCGCGAACCCTACCGGCAACACCCCGCCTCCCCCATTTCGCTATCCACTACCCCCAACCGACAAAAACACGACGCCCGCACCGGCACATCCGCCCTAGCCACCTCATCCCGCATCTTCCCCTCCACACGCTCCGCATCCTCGACCCTCCCCAACCGCACAAAACACTCATGCACCCCATGCAACGCCCACACATTATCGGGATGCCGTAGCGCCCGCGGCAGCGCATCCGTCATCCCCAGATCCGCCTCGTAGACCGCGACGGCCTCCTCGACGCGGCCCTGCTCCATCAGCAGCGCCCCGTAGGCGTGGCGGGTCGGCTGCATCCAGCCCCACGGTTCATCGTAGGGGAGATTATCCTCGAGCTCGATGGCGTTACGGAGGGCGGTGAATGCCGCCTCGAAGTCGCCCTCGCGGTAGGCGAGCTCGCCGTCGAGCATTGCGGCGGCGATGGCGAGGATGTCGGTGCATTTGTTGTTGAAGAGGGCGCGCGAGGGTTGCACGCGCGAGACGGCGGCGTGGAAGTGCTTGCGCTGCGCGCGGGAGGATGCCGTGTCCCCGGTGGCGGCGTGGGCGATGCCCTTGGCGTAGTGGGTTATTGCGGTTGTCATGGTGTAGAGGGTTGGGTCTGACGGGAGGGCGAGGGCGAGGATGTCGGCCCACCGGCCGAAGCGGATGAGCACGTGCACGCGCACGGAGAGGAAGGCTTCGAGCCAGTCGGCCATCGGCGGGGACTGGACTTGGAGTAAGGACTCGGGGATGGAAGATTCGAGTTGTGATGCGGTGCTGAGTGCGATTTCGGATTGGCCGGCGAACATGGCGGCGTAGATGCGGAAGTGGTAGTCGTGCGAGCGGTAGAGGGTGTAGAAGTTCACGGCGCCGTTGCGCTGGTGGTACCGCTCGTCGGCGGCGATGGCGGCGGAGTTCCAGGTGATGGCTTGGGTGTACTGGCCGCAGAGCAGGTCCAGGTGCGTGGGCATGTGGTGCAGGTGTCCGCCGTCGGGGACCAGGCCGCGGAGGTGGTCGGCGACGGGGAGGGCGGATTCGGGTTCGGGGGACATCTCCATGAGGTGGATGTAGAGGTGGAGAAGCCCCGGGTGCTGTAGGGCACTTGGCAGGGCTAATGCGCGGTCGAGCAGGGCTTTGATCTTGAGCGTGGGCGCGCCTTCGGTGGGTGCGCCGGTTCGCAGGTCCCAAAGGTCCCATGGATGCAGGTTCATGAGCGCGTCCGCGTAGGCCGTGATGACGTCGAGATCATCAGGGAACTCGCGGTATACCGTTTCCATGGCTTGGGCGAAGTCCTCGTTCCATGCTGAGAATGGCTTGATGGGGGTCTCCTCTGGATATCGTGACTGGATTGCCTTGATGAGTGCGGCTTCGACGGGTGATGCGTGGGGAGCGTGGGATTCGGCGGTCTTCGCGGCGGCGTGTCCGCGCCGGACGACGGTGGCGAGATCTACCTCGTCGAAATAGCTCCAGGGTTTGTTGTAGTTGGCGCCGATGGCATAGGCCAGCCCCCAGTAGGCCATGGCGCAGGTCTTGTCGGATTCAATGGCCCGCTCGAAGCACCGCGCGGATTCTTCGTGGTTGAAGGCGTACATCCAGATGAGGCCGCGGTTGAACCATGTTTGGCCGGTGGCGGAGGTGGTAGTGACGGGGCGGCGGTAGGTCCCAAGATCGAAGTATTCTTCTTGCGACATGATTGCGATGGTCTGGATTGAGCTGAGTGTGCGTATGTTCTGCTATCAATCTGTTGTTCTCAGCCACCACGGTGGCTACGAGGCCGATATGGCGGGGTCAGGTCTTGGCGTGGCGTGATCTGAGATTTTGTTCAGAGGTATGTTCTTAAGCTACACCACCTTCCACTGCCACTCACAGGAAGGTAATTGTCGATAGACGCTATCCCAGGCGGATCTGAGGGTAGTGAGGCGTGTTGCCCCGAGTGTTGCCCCGATGAAAGCGGACGAAGGCATCCACCGTCACTTCTCCAACAAGCTTCTATTTTGGGTTAGTCTACGCGGGGGTTGGGTGTTTGCGTTTGCTATCGACGATAAGATAAGCATTGAGAAGCAACGAGCATAGCAGCTACACCTCCTGGATACCTTGAGACTATGATCTTGGTTGTGGTAGAATGCAATCATGTGCAGAACGCGCAGAATGTACCCATCCAACTGTTCCTTCCTGCAAGGCCACGTATCAGCTGAGTCACTATGCACCTTCCAGATTGTATCACCCCCGCAGTCTTATCGTCGGAGTTGATATGCAGTGCAGCGGCGTTTGAGGAACCTCCTATTTGTTGTTTACACCGAGCCCCTTGGCCATTGAAAGGTCCCAGCTTCTTTTATTCACTCTTCTGGATCCTGGTACTCTCCTCAATTGCCATCGATACCCACTCGTTCAGCTCCACAGTGATTCTAGACACCACCCGGACACATATACAAGCTCAACTCGACAATTGTACAGACCGCACGCAATCATGATCAGCGCGCAGGCTCGAAGCTCTGTCACCAAACTCCGTCATCCACTAACCTCTCTACGCTCTCAGTCTTCGATCGCGACTCCCTCCACTCCCCCACAGACCACCGCTTCCTCGATTCTCTACGCAAAGATCAACTCTCCCCCGTCCAAAGTCATCGCCAGCCGCGGCCACTACCTCATCACCGAAGATGGCCGGGAGATCTTCGACGCGACAGGCGGTGCAGCCGTCGCCGCACTCGGCCACAACCACCCGACCATCAAGAGCGCCATGGCCCAGCAACTAGACGAAGTGGCGTACTGCTACTCCCCCTTCTTCACCACTCCAGCTGCCGAGCGCATCGCAACCTTTCTCACGGAGTCGACCAATGGAGAGATGGCCAAGACCTTCATTGTTAGCTCCGGTATGCGCACTCCTCATACGTGACAAACAGCAAAGCTAATGTGAGACAATGCAGGTACGGAAGCCATTGAAGCATCTCTCAAAATCGCCCGGCAGTACCATGTCGAACGAGGGGAGCCCCAGCGGACCCGGTTCATCGCGCGGAGACAGTCTTACCACGGCAACACTCTTGGGGCGCTCGCGACGGGGCACCATAAAGCACGGAGAGCGGTGTATGAGGACATCCTGGCCAAGAATGTCTCGCATGTCTCGCCGTGCTACCCGTACCGGGGCAAGCGACCCCGGGAGAGTGACGAGAGTTATGTTCAGCGGTTGGCGGATGAGTTGGAAAGGGAGTTTCAGGCCGTCGGGCCGGACACCGTTTGCGCTTTTCTCGCGGAGACGATCACCGGGGCTGTAAGTGCCGGTTTGGCTAGACCTTGAAGCTGGAAAATTGGGCAGTGCTGACCGATGGAATAGACCCTCGGTTGCGCCCCTCCTGTGCCGGGCTACTTCCCAGCGATCAAGGAAGTATGCGACCGCCATGGTGCCCTGTTGATCATGGACGAGGTCATGTCGGGCATGGGGCGCTCGGGGACTCTGCATGCATGGGAGCAGGAGGGTGTCGTTCCGGATCTGCAGACCGTGGCCAAAGGCCTGGGGGCCGGGTACGCGCCTATCGGGGCTCTGCTCGTGGGTAAGAAGGTGGTTGATGTGCTGACCCAGGGTACGGGCGGGTTTGTGCACAGCCAGACGTATCAGGGCCATCCGGTCGCCTGTGCTGCTGCGTATGCTGTCCAGACCGTGATTCAAGAACAGAACCTGCTAGACAACGTCAGAGTTCAGGGCGACTACCTGGGGAGACTGCTGACAGAACGCATCGGAGGTCATCCGAACGTGGGGGATGTCCGCGGTCGGGGACTGTTTTGGGGGGTGAGTTGCGCTTTTTACTGCGAGTAACAAAAGCGGAATCTTGCTAATGAGGCATAGATCGAGTTTGTGGCGGAAAAAAAGGCGAAGACGCCCTTCCCCGTCAGCGACCATGTTGCGCCGACAGTGCATCTGGCAGGCTTGCAGGATGGGCATTGCATTTCTTTACTGCCCAGTAGCGGCAATGTTGACGGGACTCAGGGCGATATTGTTCTGATTGCTCCTGCATATAACATCACTGCTGCTGAGGTGGAGGATCTAGTGGATAGGGTTGAGAAGGTCATTGAGTCGGTGTTTGATCAGTCTTGACTTCACCTGTGCAGGTGCCGCTTGCGTTGTGTCTGCAGTCCTGTAGCCAACCTACCATATTGATATTCTTAACCGAGTCGCTAATCCCCTTGAAATTTGACCCCTGAACATCCTACCAGTAAGACTGTGTCACCACTGTTTGATTCATGGTCCAATCTATAGAACATGCTAAAGCCTATCCCATCCCTAGAACAGCAAATCTGAAATTCTCCCCAACATGATATACTCGCACCGTTCAACGCCAATCCCAACCTCAGTGTAGCGTGAGTTGTGTAAGAGGATATAAATCTCTCACGACCGTGGAGGGGCTTTTATCATTCGCGGGGGAGTGTTTGGACGGGGATTGTGATTGGGGACATGCCCTGAAGGGAGGTGACCTGGCAGTGGTTCACGGTCATTTGAGACTTTCCGCGGATCTGTGCTCGGTCAGTATGCTAGAAGCTGTCTAGTATGCATCGCCCAACTCGGACTATTGGCAAAAGTGTGTCTCGAGGAGGGCGAGCAGGCACTGGGCTCTGCCTGCTATGTCCTGCATCTCATCCGGGATTTGGTCCCTGCAAGGCCCGATATCGTTTGTTTCAGGCTGTGGTGCTGGACACAGCATGCATTTTCGCGTGATGCGGCTGCTTTGAGGCTTCGTTTCTTCTGTCATGCTGAATAGCTGTGTCTATACCCTGCGAGAGGCGTGGTCCAAGTTTGCTAACCCCGCGAACAGAGAGGTATCCTATCGGTCAATCACGTAGCAGAGAGTGTTGCACAAAGCGACAGGGATCATGCTATTCGCCTCCTCAACTATCTAGGCGTGCCAGGTGATGCCGTGTCAAAGATGGAAGTGCACCTGACACTGTGAGCCCTAACGGACATAGCTGAGAAAAGGCGATCTCCTCTAATGTTCTCGCATCCTCTCATGGTAGACACGTGCAAAAGACAGCTGTGAACACCAGCCATAGTCCAGAGGACGTTCATTTACCCATAATCAGACCTCACAGACAATCAGGGGCCGGGCCCATAGGTTGGCGCTTTACATAACTGTCGTCGGTATCGAGGAGGGCCATCCCCCGACCTCCGACTGGGACGCGTTCCATCCCATGTCGGACCCCACTTAGTGCCAACACAGCCACACAGCAGACCATGCTTAATCTCCTCGGGGGTCGAGAAGGGTTCGTGGCCCAATGGGACTCAAATGCCGAAGAGTCGAAATGAATCTGGGGATGAGATAGAATGGGGGGGGGGGGGGGATGTGCAGGCGCCGTTGCCAAGGGTCAGTCGCGCTCAGGTTCGTATCACAGTGTCGGATATATTAATATCACCCAACCAGCACAGATAGTGCACTGCAATCTGGAATGTCCTGGGGTCTTGGTTGTTGGTTCCCATGGGCAATGGGCAAAATCGGTTGCTCCTCGGCTAAATGGTTCAGAACGCGCACCGTACCCTTGTTAAAGCCGACCTTTTCGCACTAAAATCCGAATGGGTTACGTAGAACTGAGAAGGGCCAGTTGAGGGTTTTGCAGGAGAGGAGCTCGACTCCGGTGGAGTGAGTTAGTGGCTCGGGCTTGTGAGTCTGGTTCTTGATGATTGATGCTCAGTATCTACGGGTCAACTGACTCGCGGGCTGGAGGATGACGCGGCGGCATCTTGGCCCTGCAGAAGGAGTCATCTAATAAACACCAAGCGAACTTCAAGATGAAACCGCACCAGGGGCTTTGCAGCAGCGAGGACTTCGTCTCGAGCTCGGCTAATCCCGACCGTACCAATGAAAATTGTGCCCTGACTGGATCCCCCCCCCTCCATCAGCGCCCGTGCATACTCCGTCAACCATGCATACAACCTCATCCCACACTCACACTCTCCTCCTCCCCTGCCAAGTGCCAACCATAGCTTCAACAACTTGGCTAACGCTTGTTGCCGAGTTTCTCCATCTTACCCCTTGGCACGGAGAATCCTGAAACCACCAGTCGGTCCTCAACACGACCAGCGCTAAGCTATCCGTATTTCCCGGCTGTCATGCTGCTTGCTCACGATGATACTTAAGATGCGCTGGGGACGACACTCCCTCTCCTGTCATCACCAACCCAGTCCTTCTTTTCTTTCTTTTCGTTGACCTGTGCTTTCACTCTTTTCAGTCGTTCTTTCATTCTTTTACCATGCAGCAGCGCAGTGCGCTCCTTTTGGCCTTGGCCGCGCCTCTGGCGCTGGCCTGCGAGAGCCCCGAAAACCACGCTTGTGCCTCCATCTACTCTGTTTCCTCCGTGGCTGCAGCCAGCTTCTGCGCCACCTTCACGGCCAGCGCGGTGAGCGAGACGACCGGCGTGCCGGACGCCTTCCTGTCGGCCTGCGACTACAAGACCAAGCACCTATCCAGCGCTTGCAGCTGTCTGGGCCCTGCCACCGGGGCTGCCGCGGCCGCCACCAGCGTGGTACGACTCACCCTAATCCCTGACCGCTGCAACAACATCAGCTAATCCCCAGCAGAGCACCGCAGCCCCCATCGTTGCGACCTCCACCACCGCCGCCGCCGCCTCCACCTTCCAGACCTCCTCGAAGGTGGCCTCGACCAGCCAAGCTGCGTCCACGACGCTGGCGCCCGTCACCACCGAGATCGCGGTGGCGGCCACCTCGGCCGTGGGCAACGGCGGCACGACCTGCACGGTGACCGAGTACGCGTCGATCTCGTCGGCGGTGGCCTCGTGCTCCAACATCCTGCTGTCGGGCGTCAGCGCCCCGGCGTCCAGCACGATCGACCTGACCGGGCTGCAGACGGGAGCGGCCGTGATCTTCGCCGGTGAAACCGTACGCTGCCCTCCCCCTTTTCCAATCGCAATCAGACTAATGCCTCCAGACCTTCGGCGACACCTACGACAGCGACTTCGACCCCATCGTGATCTCCGGCACGGACCTGACCATCACCGGTGCAGAGGGCCACGTCATCGACGGCAACGGCCAGGCCTACTGGGACGGCGAGGGTTCCAACGGCGGACAGGACAAGTACGCCTTCCCTGCCCCCTTAACCCCAACCCTAACCCCCATCAACCAGTACTAACCTCCGCCAAAAGACCGGACCACTTCATCGTCCTTAAGAAAATCTACAACAGCACCATCAGCAACCTGTACATCCAGAACTGGCCCGTGCACTGCTTCGACGTCGAATCCAGCGAAGGCCTGACCCTGACGGGCATCACGCTCAACAACACCGCCGGCGACAGCCCCAACAGCCTCAGCGGCGACGACCCCGCAGCGCACAACAGCGACGGCTTCGACATCAAATCCTCGACGGACCTGACCCTCAGCAACAGCTGGGTGCACAACCAAGACGACTGCGTGGCCATCACCTCGGGCACGAACATCGTCGTCGACAACCTTTACTGTTATGGCGGCCACGGGCTGAGCATCGGCTCCATCGGCGGCAAGTCCGACAACACCGTCGACGGGGTGACCTTCAGCAACTCGCAGGTCGTCAACTCCGAGAACGGGTGCCGCATCAAGACCAACTCCGGCGAGACTGGCGAGGTGTACAACATCCGGTACGAGAATATCACGCTCTCCGGCATCACGGATTACGGCATCGATGTGCAGCAGGATTACCTCAATGGCGGGCCCACTGGGGAGCCCACGAATGGGGTTGCCATTGAGAATGTGACGTTTGTGGATGTCACGGGCACGATGAGTGATGGCAAGGATTATTACATCCTGTGTGGCGATGGGAGCTGTGAGAATTTTACGTTTGAGGGCGTGAGTATTACGGGCGGGAGTGGGGATAGTTGCAATTATCCGGATAGTGGGTGTCCTTAGGGGGTTGATTTTGGGGGAACGGTGGTGGTGGTGAGGGGGTGAGGTGATGGGTGAACGGGGGTTGGCCCGGTTTGTAACTATACTATTCTAGATATATCAATAAAGAGCTGTGGATCGGCATTTCGTTCTCAAGTGGAGATGGGAGGGAGGGTATGGCTGTAAATGAGTTACTATATCATGCAGTCGTCTACCCCATTGCCGGTTAGCCACTGTGGACAATCGTATCCTAGATGCTCCAGACTACAGACTCAAGCTAAACTCTACCTACGCATCATCGAATGCATTGAACTATGAAGCAAAGACACCATCCCCACCTATTTATCGATGACTTTCTGTAGACCGGTCGCCCGGTCCACTTCGTACACGTCTATCCTGTATCACATTAGTGCAACGCAACCGCAAACACCCTAGATCATTAGCATGCAACCACACCCTCACCCCCCAGCAACATGCACTCGCACAAATACATGGCATAAACTCATAATGCATCACAGCAACCCAACCACCCATGCCGGTCGTCCTCAACACTTAAACAATGACATAAAGCAATACATGCGACCACCAGAAATGCCCAATGCTGGCCACCACACCGAAAGCACCACTGAATGCACCACCGAATGCACAACCAAGCAAAAGCTAAGAACTCCCCACCCAGACTGACACCGTTGCAGACGTCGTGTAGATCATGAATCCAAAACCTAGCACCACCATCGCAATGTCACCGCGCTTGGCCCACGGCGACTGCGCCACCCCCTTGTAGTGCAGATACGCCGGGTACATGTACACCAGCGGCACGCACGCAAACGAGCCAATCAGCGAGACAAACTTGTCCAGGTCCCCGGCGCCCACGGCGGACAACACCCCGCATCCCAGCACGGCCACCGTCCGGAACACGTTCTTCTTCCACTTGATCATCGGGTCCCGCTTGCCCGATCCCTGGCCGAACAGCTTGCCCTCCAGGATGCGCACGGCGGGGAACAGCTGGATCGGCGTGCTGATCAGGATGGCCAGCGAGTAGATCAGCTGCAGCGCGTTGACGAACCGGTCGCCCTGCGGAAAGTTGCTGATGATCTCCGTCTTGGTGTCCGCGCCGAAGGTGGCGTACGAGAGCGCCCCGACCGCCGTGAAGAGGACGGTGATGATCCCCATAACCAGGTAGAGGAGGCGGTCGAAGTGCTCGGGGTGTTTCATGGACGACTGGATCGGGAGGATCAGCCCGATGCCCTCGAAGGTGAAGATGCACGACCCGATGGTCAGGGTGAAGGATTGCCGGTTGAACAGCTCCACCGTCGACGCCAGCCCGCGTGAGGCCAAGCTCGCGATGTCGTAGCAGTAGATGTAGCTGAGTCCCATCAGGATGAACACATCCGCCAGTAGCGCCACGGGCCCAAGTTTAGAAATGTTCCGGATCAACGCCATCGGGACCAACACCACCAGCTGCAGCCCGATCAGAGCCCCCGTGGTCAGCGCCTCGGGCGGCGCGGAGCTCACCGCTGTCATGAACGAGTGGACATTCTCCGCTGTGAAGATAATGCACGCGCACACGAACCCGAACTGCGAGATGGCGATCGACGACAGAATCAGCGACCGCGCGCGCGGGCCAGCGATGTGTTCTCCGATGTCACCGTAGCCTCCGCCGTATCGTCTGCGACATTCCAACAACAGATGAAAGCACAGGGTACTTATCAGCGACACCGTAACCAGCGTGATGGACGAAAATAGAATTCCTCCATTGCGAAAGGCCTTGGGGAGGAAGATGATGCCCGTGCCCACGAAAGCCTTGAGCAGCGTGAAGAAGGTCTTCACGTTGGACGCATCCCCCGGCCGACTGACGCGGGCGCTCTTTCTGCGCCGCAGCAACGGGCTCCGTTCATGGGCCTCCCGTTCTTCTTCCTCCGCGATCGCCGATTCCTCCTCATCTGTATCAACCAAATCCTCGCCCGCGAAGTTGCCGTAGTTGTCCAAGAAGTCGAGGAAGGAGGCCGTCACGCCACGTCCATCCAGCCGACCGTACTTGTTCTGCAAGAAGTGACGTCGGAAGCTGCCCGGTTCGAGTGCAGCGACGCTCTCCTCGACGGCGTCGTCGTTCTGGCGGGGGAGGTGGGAGAAGGTCAGGGCGCGTTTGTCGAGGCGAGCCTGTTTGGAGCGGGCGTCGATGCGATACAAGTCCCGGTGGATATCTCCGCCTTGAAGTCTCAAGGAAGACTGAGGTTCAGGGCCGGACTCGCCGGAGTTGTGCTCGTCGGGGGCATCGGGAGGGGCGAGTTCCTCCTGTAACGAAGCGGTGAACTGTGGGTCGAGGTGTTGGGACAGGATGTTCGCCTCCCTGGGATCAGGGTCGACGGTATCCCGGAAGGATGAGCTGGTAAAGTCTGCCATTGTTAGTGGAATGAAAAGCTAGTGCAAGGAGCAAGCATTGTTGGATGAAGAGAGAGACCAAAAGAGTCGATGGCGAAGGGAAGCAGCAGGTGCAGCCCCATCATGTAATGGTGATGACGCTGTTGATGGGGCTCATTGCGAACTGAGGGAAGAGCAAGCCACGGGATGCCGTTTGGATGTGTTGATTGGCCAGGGACTCCCCAAATGTGGATACACGTGACTCTAAAGCTCTGCGGTGGCGGCTGACTCAGCTGACACTTGCTGTAACGTAATCGGTAAGCGAACCGGCAGGGCAAGCAAGCCGGCAGCTATGTATTACATACTAAAAAGACTAATTTAAACCCTTTATAACTCTATAGATGATTGATTCAACAGCTTTAAACTCTCTTATATACTAGAATAATATAAGATAAACAGATATTATTAGTTGAAAAGAAATTAAATAAAAGTAATATATTTTATTCCAGATTTTAATAAAATACTATGTATTACATTGTATTTTATTTTATTCTTGTAATTAAAGCATTTAAGACGCTAAAAATTTGTATATAAATATAAATTAACTATAGTTTGATGAGATTTTATTTCGAAGTGATTTGCAAATAGGATGGTAGAGTAATTAAGTTCTAAAATATACAGTTTTGTATATAAAATGCAGCTGCCGGTTCGCTTACCGATTACGTTATCAGGCATCTGTCCCGTCTCTTTGTTTCGGTAGGTTTCCCTGCATGAAGTATGAAGCCACCATCGTACGTATAGTTGACAGCACTAGGCTACACTAAGCTTCGAAAATAATAGATGATCTTTACTTGATTATATCTCTCTACTGCTGGACTCTACTTTCACAATAGAGCTGGTGATACGTCATGTTGTTGCTTCAGATGAATTCATCCATCATCCACTTCAACGCGTGTTGACATATGTTAATAAGTCAATACATTAATCTCAGCTAAGACCACAACACTCCAATAGCTTTTAGTACATAACTCCGTACTAACAAAGGAAACAACCCACTTATTTTGTGTTTCTGACATAAGCAAAAGTGACATAATCAAATCCGAAATGGATACCTCCCTTCCCTCGCATCCAACGGCAGAACATCAGTTCAACAATCGTTTCCCAACAGACAAAGCTTTGAGCAGTTCAGTCTCAGGGGCAATGGCCCGGACCGGTGACACCATTGTTATAATTGTCCAGCGTGGTGGCCCAGCCATTTACTTGGCTTTTTTGCGCATTGGTGAGGCTGGCCCAGTCCCCGCTATTATAAGTGGCGAGGAAAGCGTCCGCAGCCTGGATGGTACTTGCAACAGCGGAGCCGTCCGCACCGCTTTTGATGTTGAGCTTCGCGGCGAGCAACTGCGCATACAGCTTGTCAATGCCGTTGCTAGCGGTGGGGATACCCTCGATGGTGACGGCTTGAGCTGCGCTCTCCACCTTGACGCTCTTCGACCCGCCTTCTGTGCCGAGCCAGATCGGTAGTAGATTCGTTGGGCTGGTGATGGCCTCGGGGTGATTCTTCCAGTAGCCGATCGTCCGCGTGCAGCCGCCGCCGCCGCCGCCGCCGCCGCCAGTGCACTTGACTGTCACCGTTGCCGGATCACTGGGCCCAGGCGACCCGTCGTCGTAGGTGATGGAGGCGGTGTTGGGATTCTCTCCCTCGTTAGCACAGGTGAATGTGCGGGTGTAGGACTTTGTCCCGTCATCGGAAAACTGCCCTAGCGAGCCCTGGAGGGTGTCGGAGACCGTTACGGAGTTATGCACGAGCGTCTCAGTCGCTGGAATCGTTGTGGTGGCGGACTCGTTCGGCCCAAACGGTACTCCTAAGTGCCCGGAGTGATTGGTAATTGTCGTATCGGCCGTCACCTTGTAGGTGCCGCTGTTGGCGCTCGGGATGTCGATGCTATAGGGGTAGCAGTAGCTCTCCCCGGCAGCCAGGACCGGCTTAGCCGACACATCCAGCTGCGGACTCAGTATGACCGTAGAGGACGGCGGCTGCGTCACCTTAAGGGTTGACTGGAGGTTCTCAGTTGCAACACTGCCACCGTTATGGATGCAGACCTGTCCGTCGATCCAGGTGCGGACAGTCCCGTCGTCCTTGGTCACCGTCACCGTGTAGTCCACGGTGCCACTCTGACCTTGGACCAGATTGAGTACGGTTGGGTTAGCCGTCTTGTCGATTGTCCACGTGAAAGTCCGGGTCCGGTGCCCGTTAATTGTCATATCCTCGCTGAGCGTCGTTCCCGACTGGCCGCCCGACGGGGATTGCTGCCGCTTGCTGAGCGCTATGCCCTCAGCCTCGGCCGGCGCCGGAAAGGCGGAAACCCCCCAAGCTACGACGAGTGCCACTCCCAACACCCATCCGAGACGGAGCAGCGAGGGCGTTTTCATTTTAATATTGCCCCTTTATTTGATTGTTGGAGTGTGATTGAACTTTCAAGCTTTGGTAGTTCCGGGTTCAAAAACAGATTAAATGCCTCGGCGACGAACTATGAATCCTCCTCGGGAGTCAGTTCTTGGGGTGGGAAATCGAACGGTTATTTATCACTTCCTATACCGCGTTCAAGCCCAGTTCAGAACGCCTGTTCTTTCCGAGATCAAGGAGCTATCACAAGACCCCGTGCATCATAGGAGAGAGGCTAGAAGGGCCGGTTGCTTTAGATTTCCTGTAACACGGGCATGTGAGGTCACTTTTTCAAAGTGTGGCCATTGTTTGTTTGCCATCCGATCTATGAGTTTCGGTGGTAGACTTTGGTGACTGAAGAGCGCTTCCTTTGTCACAAGTCATGGTGGACGTATCACAAACAAAAGCCACCAAAAGAGCCCAGGCGCGTTCACGAGCTCTCTCCGCAGATAAACGCAGTAAGTGGGAAAGTGACAGTGGAGAGGGGTACCGGGAACAATAGAGAGGACGACGAAGAGGAAGCGGAGGAGAGCTCTAGCTAGCATGCCGCCTTGTGATAGCGGCGACTATAGAAATCACGGAACGAACACGACTGCGATACTCAGGCTGCGCGAATGAGAAGCGCGGAAAAGCCTTTGCGGTCTATTCATTCACGGTCATATAGCAGACGTCATCATGACTTTGACAGGGCCCATATTTATGAGTCCGCGCATTCGGCCAAGCTATAGAGTAATAGCTTAAGCCCCCGGCTTCTATAAAGCTTAAGTTCTTATACGAGCTACTCGGCAACCATCGATCGGCCGAGTTCTGTATATTGAAACGGTATCCCCGGTTCTGTCACTCATATTACCGCGGTAGCCGCGCCGTATAGCAGGGAACTGTGGTGGGTACCAGTGCATGATAGAAGGAGAGCTGGGTACGGTCAGATGTGGCTTTTGGATGGCATCGAGTCCCAACCGAAGCAGTGCTGACTGCACGGTCGCTGATTAGTTGAACCGGATTGTTCTTGAGCTATTTTATGAATCTTAGTCACGTTACCGTTTGCCTCTTTGTGCTTGGGGCGGGAAATGCTAAAATTGGCCGTGGTTCATCGGTTGCAGTTTATCTCTAAATCTCAACCTACCATGGATGCTGTCAATGGCTATGCCTAACTCACCACAAATATCTAAGCAATTAAACTTTCATCTGCCGAGAGAAACTGGAGAAGGAAATGTACGAACAAGACGACTTTAAATGACTGAAAGTTTAAGCATAGACCAAAGAGCCTGGTCAATTGCCTACCGGTTATCCTATTTGTACATTCGTTAGCACAAAAGCTAAGCTGTTGCGTTGCCATATCAGAAGATTTCAATGACCATGTAGTATTAGTCAAATCGGAATATGTATTAGTTGGTGTAGATAACTGGGTTTGGAGCTCTGTTATCAGCTCTTCTCCAAAGAAGCCTCGTACAGGTAGAATGTAACTAGACTGGACAAGAGCGCTTTACAGTATATAAGTAATTGACCTAGGGATTTTCGCACTTCGCAGATTGCTACTTACTCATCCCCGTAAGTACAACATCAAGTCCTGCAGGCTGACTCTAGAATTGTCGAGGCAGCCTCTCAAGCTCTGCTATCGCGCCAATTCTGCGAGAGCGGCTATTTTTCCTTTGTCGATACAGTTTACATTAGTTGTACTGTTAACATACCCAGGTAGTACTGCTGGTAGGAGCAAAGTCTTGAGCAAAAGGGTAGCGATACCCTATCTTTCTTAGTCTTCTTCTCTTCTTATGTATTGACTGTCAAACCGTGCACAATGACAATAATGAATCTTGATTGGCATTTCGAAACAGACCGGAATCCTCTGACTTACACAACAAATGGCAATCATGGGAATATCCCATGGCTCTGCGGCAGATGGACCCATCTGTAGAACCGGGGTTAGGGGCTTACGGGGTCCACGGGCAGCAAATGCGATTCTGACCTTCACTGAGGATTGGCTGTCTTCCTTAGCTGTTAGATCAATGATATCAAGGCTGCGCAGTGTTAGTGATTATGCAGACGCCTGTGACATACTACTGTTGTAGTCCTGTCGAAGTTTGGCCAGTCATACTTTTGTCTACACAAGGACACTTTCTCTGGAGGACAAAGTCAAAAATGGACAATCATTCAATTCTAAGACTTTTCATTCCAGTTAAGTATAACGAAAAATTGACAATGATGTTATTCATTCAATCAGACCCAGAGCTTCGTCTTTATAAACTGATAGACTGAATTCTTGGTCTTTTCAGTCCACAACTGATGAGAGATGTAGTAAAGCAAATCCACAATCGTCCCCAGTAATCCGTACCAAAAGGTTTGTCACGAGTCCCGCAGTCGAGCCTTTGATGTGCATGCTCTGGCAAGGGAATCACCAGATGTGGTACATTCAAAGAGAAAAGGCGATAATGCACTGGTCATGCCTCCTAGGCATCCATTCACCTAGCCGCTTAACCCGGCGCTTAACACATTTTTAGAAATTTCGCTTTTCTCAACCAATCAATTAATCCAGAAGTATCATATACATACGAGATACACACACCTTTCACTTTCTTTCTTTGCTTCTTCTCTCTCCTTTGTCCTTTCTCTCATTTCTTTCTACTCAGAAAGGGTGGCTAATTACGAATTAGCTTTCATGCCAAACTCACCCCGCCACATACTAGGTATTCACTTGGTCTCTTGACTAGGGTACTGCTTCTTAGTCTGAGTGGACACACTTCCCGACGGGAGACTATACAGTATCTCGTTCTCTAAAATCCTGTATCTTCAAGGGGGCTAATAATCCTCAGGATTTCTCATACGATAGGCGGACATGGATTGGTGGCGCCTATGTTAGCTTCCTGTTCTCGGCTACTTGCTCTCCACAGCCTCGTAGCCAGCTTACACCCCTGCATCCCTGTAGTGACGTGGCAGCCAGTGACTCTCGATAAAAAGACCGCTCACCCGTGTCTGAGAATTGCATACCCAGCTATACTAATCCTTTAACACCTCCGACCGACTTCTTCATCCTACTCTCCAACAGAGTCATCTTAGTGTCATTATAAAATCTAGAGATGGACACCGAATTCAGCGAGTGAGGACAGGATGGTGATAGTTCTAAATCAACTACAACCCGCTTACGAGAAACAGAATCATCTCATCCCCGCTCTTTACCTTCATCGTTGGCAAGGCAAAGAAAGAAATCACGGTGCATTCCGAGGCCCTGGCCAGCCTGTCACCCACCCTTGACAAACTGATCAATGGCGAGATGATTGAGGCCAAAACTGGTCGGGTTGACTGGACGGAGGTAACCGAGGAAGCTACGTTCCTGCGGCCGTGCGAATATGCTTATGTACGCGACTATGCCCCACCGCCGTGTTCGCACCGAGAGATAGAGCCTCCGAGCGTTCCAGTATCGAAGTCGCCTGAAGATCCGAATGCTCTTGGATGTGCCAGCAGCGGAGGAGTACGCAGTCGAGCCTGCACCCGAGCCAGTGGAGCCCGCTTATGGTGTGTGATC